AGTCAAATTTGAGACCTGATTCTTCCACCGTCGTAAATTAACTTTAACTTTTCACTTTCTCCCTTTTTTATAACGACTCGATTGTGTTTTGTTATTGAAGAGCATTCTTATAGTACGGATTGATGTATTATTTTCCTCAATCATTCCTCAGCACTGCCAATTACTTTTCTGTTCTTAGGGTATTGAGTTCCCCGGAAGATACGCTCACAAGCGACCCATGTTTGTATCTGCGCTCCGATGCCGGGACCTCTCCGGAAGGTGCTTTGAGCCTTTGTTCAGGCCCACGCGCCAATACCAGTCATCGCCACAACTGGTCTGCCTCGGTGTTGCCTATCGCCTTTCCGATCGTCATCTGTCGCATTCAGCGGATTACGCACCGTGATCGACATCGTCCTTTCAGCGGCCTGTTTTCCTGCTCTTTTTCCTCGCGCCTCCTCGATGTCGCTCTCGATCCATCCCGTGAAAACACTCGTCAGACCAGCCTAGTGTTGTAGGCACATGGCACTGAATGTTATGCACTTCAACCAGCTCTTCTGACCCTCGGATATTGTCCTCGAACCTCGATTGTATCTCCCTCAGATTGATGTTGGTTTCGGACATCTCGAGGCAATCTCTCTGAGCAACAACAACCTTGTATTACTGGAAGGATTCAATTCGTAATTCTATCTCTTGGGAAATCTTTGAACAAATTTTATCTTGACAAATGAGGAATTTCAGTTGGAGATATTACTTAACTCATTGTGAATTCGTAATTCTTTCTATTTTTATTTTTTTGAAATATTTACTTGTTGAATTTACCTCAATGTTGATGTGGAATATTTTACATTTCGTTTTACCAGTCACCGGACTAGTGTTAAAATACGGTGGTAAGTACCACTGGAGAAGGTGACTATCTTGATTTTGTTGATTGTGGATAATTCATTTCACTGTTTGGAGTCTTACTTGTTCTACAGGTTGCAAATAAGTACTGAGCTGCTGCAAAAATAATGACGGTTTGTTCTAAAGCTGCTACATGAATGCTTGAAGGGATAAAAAACCATCGGGCTACAGAAAATTCTCGCCTGTATGGTTTGGCAAGATTCCCTTCTTTGGCATCCCGAGAAAGACCTTCATGGCAGTCGCCGACTGTTATGGATCAAAGAAGCGATCACTACTTTGCAACTGAGTTTCTATCAAAATGTCAACTATTTCTGAGATTTATTTACTCTTTGAATATCTTTGGTTGGATAACAATTGGTGATATTGAAGTATTCAGCCTAGGATAATCATCCATAGAATGAAATGCTCTACTGCAGTTCAACATTTAGAAAAGCCACACATCACAGTGGGTGAGCATTGTGGTTTGTTAGGTTTGTTAAATTTTACAAAACATAGAGCAAAACTCTTTTTGTAACTCCCACGTCCGACTTTCTATTAACCTCGGCATTGATTGAATAATTCTTTCTACTTCTGTTTAGCAAACACTTTTTTCTTTTTGTAACATTTAAACGCAAACTTTCGATTCAGTTCCGCGCTACATCTATCCTCATTGAGATGAGAGTTGACATAACTGTTAATACCAGCTTAAATTTCCGAATTTAATCATTTTTAAACCTGAGCTCGAACTGATATCACGAAATGTTTTTGACTCGATGATACGTTAAAGAGATGGCAAAGAAGATGATTGATCAGTACTGATGTATTTGAACTTGTCAAAAAAATTTCTGAGCAGGACTTGCTTTTACAAGGAACACTTAGAATAATCCAGCTCACGTTTTCACATCCACGCACACGACCTCTATACCTGATTTGTCACCATTAAAAAAGTGTCAAACTCTCGAATCAATCTATTTATGTCTTTATTGCTTCTGAGGTACCTGCATCATTGATTTTCATCGCGACTCTTAACTGCATGTGCATTTTAATAAGGGCTTTACAAGGAGTGCGTAGATTTTGCGTGCTCCAGCAAATGTCAGCGATACCAAGACAATAGTGGTGCGTGTGGCGCAGTTGTCGAAGGCGCCCTACAACACACATATGGTATCAATCCCCGCACCCACCGTGGCTCACTAAGCTTTCCATTCCTCCGGAGTGGGCAAATTGGTACGAAACTTCTCTGGGAAGGTAGCACTCTGGCTTGATGCATCGGTAGGGCACCGCGAGTCATCGTAAAGGCCAGATATGCATTCAATCACCTTCAACGATGCCTAATGAAATTGATTGTTTGGCGCATCCCTTAGGGATTGATCAACGCCAAGAGCTCTACCCATTTTTTATGGCTTTGCAGAGTACTATCCATTTCAAAACCTCAGGCAGTCGTGCTGCCAAGTCATCTAACTTTGTGAGTTCAATCAACCAGTTATCTGCTCGTAAATGACAACTTCTGTTGACGGCAACACAGTTCCAGTGGTGCCACAATCTCCAGAAACCGTCAACAGGGTGGCTATACCTTATGGCTGCATGCACAAAATATCGGATAACATAACATTGTTGCTTGCAGAGTCGTATAAAAATCGTTCCAAACTAGTACAGACGATTACATTTAGAACTTGAAGGAATTTTTGCTACAAGTCTCGGATTCCCTTTCCCGAATAGCGGTCGACGGTCACGTAGTGCGCTTAGAAATGTAAAGGCAATTCTGTTAAACATGGAATGCTTCGAAATCCCCTTTTCCTGCTCACTTATTCACTCACTCATTCAGTCATATATTCTTGATTATTTCAAGCATTTATTTAGTTCTACAGCTATTGTTTTTCTTGCTTATCTTTGTGGATCGAAAAGAAGCCCAGCAATTTTCAACTAGTTTTCATTGAGGACTGACGCATTTCTCGTCATGTGGTATTAACTGTAATGCCGTCGTACCAAAGTGCCAACATCACTCACAGCATGGAAATGATCTTTAACTGCATATCGCAGCTCGGCACTTACGAAATTGCTCCTTGCCGCAAGAGTTAATCACAAAAAGACCTATAAACATCACACATGAATGAATCCATGAAGAAACTAGCTAACGAATGGTCCCGCAGTAGTCATAATGTCACGATAAGGATAACTGTAAACATATGACACAGTAACAATCACCACTTTCGTCGTTATTTTAGTCAATCACCGAGTGATCAAGCATTATTAAAGTTTTAATTGCTTTCTATCGAGCGCAGGGACCGCCCGCTATGTTCGGAGGACACAAAGAGCTTCGCACGTTTGGTATGAGAGAAATGGTATTGGTATTGGTATTTATGTTTGTTGCTTTTGTGCAATGGTAGTCCGTCAGGGCTTTCGGATTGAAAATGAGAGTTGTCTGCTAAAGGAAATCTCTAATCACTTTTCGCATACATTTAAGTCGCAGACAACATATGGGATTCAGGATTCGACTCACCTATTTGCACAACAAGGACCGCACGCGTACTACGGCAGTATAGGTGAATCCAAACCTTAAAGGACAGTTGGTCTATTTACTGAATCCATCTAGATTTCAGGAAACTTGTCAAGCTGTTAAATACACAGTTTCTTTGAACCACGATGTTTTATTTCTAAATGAAATTCTGTGAATTCGCATTTGTGCTGTGCATCTTTTTAAGACCGATTTCTCTCTATATTTCCGTATCAGCATGTTAGTTTTTATGTTTACTTATGCTCGATTTGGGCTAAATAGAAGTGGGAAGAAGATCCAAGTGTTTTTTATAAATATAAAAGCGAACGAAAATCGCTGTCGACGTTTCATCTGTTATCGAACGCTTTCCACAGAATAAGGTATGAGAACGACGGCTATTCCGGAACACTTAACAAAACATTTTGCAAACTTATACACTTGTGGCGCACACCATCATCAACAGTGCCAGTCCTAGTGCATTTCCATTCATTTCTTAAGCTCACCATCCTCGCTCGCAGCGGAGGCTTATTTCATGTTTGGTGACATATGCGAGTATAATCCCATGTTTTAAAAAAATTTGCAACTGCAAATGAAGCTGATCTGCAGGGCTAGTCATTTTCCCATTGGGCATAGGCTCAAAAACTTTTTCGGTTAGCTTCATAATCTTGTAACGATCATCCACGGGAGTAGTCGGTTGACATTTGAGTTTTGATAGGAACAGAGCTGTCTTATTTTCCCTTCATTCACGTGTTGAATATTGGTAAGTGTGATATCACCTGAAGTCTGGGAATAGCTAGTCTCAAGTGTGTTCCATCGGAGCTAGATTTTCTGCGTTTCCACTTCGGTTTTTCTAGCAAAGCAGAGGTTGTAGTCGATATGCGATTCTCAGCCAGCGGAAGACGGTCGATTGTTTGGTTGATAAGTAGTATCGAGACGTGAAACTCTACCTTAACCAATGCGCTTTGCAGGCCGTCACCGTCCATCTTACTTTTTTCCTTCCACCTCAACAACTGTAAAATGTTCTACAATTAACAAGGATAAACTCTCGAAAGATTATGCTTGGAATCCAAATGTCTTTATTGTTGTGGAATATTAAAGTCTACATCATTCTGGAAACGTTCTCTAGATTTCACTGTTTTTTTGCTTAGGTTAAAGATTACCAAATTGTTTTGCGGATAGCCTAAGATATGACTGCTTCCTTTAACCTGTGTTTATTCACCACGTGAACCAAACCGTAACCTACTACTCAGCTGACTCAAAATCCTATTTCATGACGTTAGCATTTTCCAAAAATTTCTTTCTCTTGTTTGAGGTTTTTTTAGCTACGTGTGTTTTACGAGCTTTTTCCTATGTGTAATTTCCTTCGCAGTGAACTCGTAGAATTTTTATGGTGATGGGCGGTGCCGGGTGATCACTTCAGTGAATCGGCATTCGTCGGCACCCGCTTACCGACTACTGCATAACATGTTTATTGTGATAATGAGCAACTTCTTCAGCTTATCACACTTGGGCGATTGGACTAACATCAGTGCTTGTCTCGACAACGAGCCTGTCCGTTGCGAAGAACCGCACGAACCAACCGGCGTCGATATCTTGCTACTCTCCCACTGCTGCACTTCCGCTTTCTGATCAACGTTTTCGTGTTACGAAAATGCCACGTAGATATCGGGAACAGATCTTAGAGGTTACAAAAACGGTGACAATAATGGAGGTTGCAAATGCAGCACCAAACAAACATCCGCGTGCGTGTGAAGTCACTGTCACAAATATTGCCTCCGACTGTGGCCATCCAGTTTCTCTAAAGATTACTCATATGCACAAATCTCAGGGCATGCATCAAAGCAAGACAAAGGTGCAAATTCCCGAGATAAACATTGTGGAAAATACTTGGGATGCCATTACATCCGCTCCAAACGGAACGACACGGACTGAGCAAGAACACATGACCCAAATCGAACGCACCACAGTGAAAATACCTAGTGCAGACACCACTTTCAACCATCAAGGAGACAACGTTATTGATCTACAGTTCACACAACCTGTTTTGTTAGAAGAAGCACATGATTGTCGAAAACAATGTAAATCGTCTACAACGGGCCTAGTGCAAACACTCTATTACAGACCGTTTTCGGAAGAAGGTGCACTGAGAGGCTCCACTTCAGTAGTTAACGTAGATGCGCGTCCTGGAACTGCACCAGTGCACTACGGCGCAATGATCGGCAAAAGTCATGTTAGTGATTGATATAAAAAAAGTACTTATTCTTTTTCGTACTCTATCCTTAAGCATTTTTCCAGGCTTTTAATTTTGCTTATTTTTAGTCGTTCTAATACCGAAAGTGTTAGCAAAAACTGCTTATTTATGCGCATGCACAGATCAGCTTTTAGATGTTATAAGCTCATCGAAACGTTTCTTTTACCAAGGCAGTAAATTCTCCGCTTAACTCTTTGAATACGCAAGAAAGTCTCTTGTTAATTTACGAAATACAACCTCAAGGGTGCTGAGATATTCTCAAAACTCAAACCCAGGCCAGATTCAAACTGGTGACTACCCTTTCCGGCGGCTCAATTGTTACCCACCAACATCACTGAAGCCCTCGCTTAGCCTTTCTCGCGGCCGGTTTTTTAAACACTAATCGTGCCATCAGTAATCACCCGTCGATGTGAATGACATGGGGTGCACAACTCGGTTTTGAATCCAGTAAGGTCAGAATCGAATCTGGCCTGGGGTCTGAGCTTTGCAAATATCTCAACATCCTTGTTGTTGTATTTCACCTAACACGCTGCCATTAAAAAACCAAAGGCAGTAAATAGATAGTTATACAATGTGATTTCTTGTTGGCAACACTTTAGTGCTTATTACGAGGGTTATCCGTCTGTCCTTGTTTTTTTTCTTAACAGGACAGATTATCTTTCGAAAATTGTGTCTTTATTACAAATTATGCTTTATTTTGAAAGTATGATTGAATTAAAAGTTCTTTCACAAGGATTGTTGTTACACTTTTCTTAGGACTTGGTAGTTTTCTTTTTGCAAACAGCGATTTAAGTAAAATTGACAAACATTTAAAGAAACAGAAACTAATATTCTTCACTGGGTGTAATACCAACTTACGCTTTGTATGAAAGAATTAAATAGTGACGTGCTGCAGATGCAGTTCATTTCAATTAAGAAGAGTGTTAAGAGAAAGCCAACAATGTCATGCAGTGTTTTCAGTTTGAACCGATGACCAGGAACATCTCCGACGATGGCGAACCGCCCACGTTCGTAGAAATTCGGCAACGACGACGAACGTCGTCGGCGGACGGACGTCTCGTCGCCATCTCGGGCAAGTACGGCGCTCTTTTATTGCTTCACCTTAATCCTTCATTCATAAATCGTAATAACAGAACTAAATCTTTTTCTTAGCGATCGTGAACTTAGAACGCCTCCGCGATGGCCTTGTAATAATGGTCTTCAAATGTATGTCCTAGTTCTAATAATGGGTTTATCAACTGAATTAATTATTCACACTAGAGTTTTCTGCGAAGTTTTTAAAGTTATATTTCATTAAAAATTTTTGGCATTTCTGTCTGAATCTGAAGCGACCAGAAAAAAGGATTTTAATATGGTAACCTCGATTCTGTAGCAAGGATAGCATTTTTGTCTGCTGACCAGGGGTTTCCTGAAGTAAAAGAAACGAAGAGTGTGCATATCTCAAACCTACTCTAAAGTAGACCTGGATTTCTCTTCGCATCATCAAAAAGCTCAAATTGTCGAACCAAGATCGGAACAACATCGAAAGCTGACTTTTTCATACCCATGGATGATCGTTCATTATTCGACAATCCGAAGTTTCGATCGATTGCCTGAAGGGGTACGCTCGACTAAAAGGAGAGTAGTCGTTGTTGTTTCGCCACGCCCAACTTCGGTTGCGCTCAGCAACGAGACAATTGTGGTGCCGTCTCTCGCTTCTCACGTGCTGATAATTGTACGTCCTTTTCTATCCGATGTTCTGGAGATCAGAGCAGTAACTCGTAACTGGACAGTTCCTTTCAATGTGCAGTAGTGGTGCTGCCAAAACTACCACGGAAGCCAGTTTAGCCAGCAGGTTTTCGTTCTTTTGCGTTTCATTTGGAAAGCAATTATTTCTCATGATCAGTATTTATCCACGGTTGTTATCCGAGATCAACTTATACCACACCTGCTCTTACTATGATTACTAGCCCACAAACGAGAAAGTCAAAAGGCATCTACACATAACAATTTTGCAGTCTCTAGTATAGTTTTCCATTCTTAATGCTAATTTACAGCACTTCATCTCAGCTTCATAAAACCAACCGATATAGTGTTTTGGGTGGTTCCCTCATACTCCTTGCTTTCTGTATCTTACTGCATAGAAAGAAATGTCGCAAAATGGCAAATTTATGTCAGAATATTAGTTACAAAACAAATTGACAACGACAGTACATTATCTATTAGGAGGTGTTAATTCGGCAGGAAAACTTGAGAAGGTTGGAGAACATCAAGAGTTAAACGGTGAACGGTTCATCGACTTGCCGCGGAATTTCCTTTCATGATTGCCCGTCAGAATCATTACGAATTGTGTTCGATTTTTTCTGTGTTGTAATGTCGAGGGTGAAGTGATCAGCATGAAAATCAGTGTTAGACATTCGACTGGTTTTAGAGTGCCAGACGAGAAGTAGACAAAAATTGTATCCATTCGACAAAAAATTTTGTTCTGTTGCTTTCATTAAAACAAAACTGGTGATTGTTTCGGTGATAAATCGACATGTGTTTTTTAAAAAGAGCATCACGTGATGGATGACTTTAGTCGTCCAGGAACGTGAATTAGTCACTGTGCCGAGCGTGGTGAAATGAGCATTCTCTTTCATCGGAAACGTAACGAGTTAATTCAAATTAAAATTTTTCGATTAAAGTCAACATCGACTAATTTATATTATTCTAAGAACTGTCGTCATAGCCATTCAAAAGTAAAACTAAGCTCTGAAGAAGGCTGGATTGCCGAAACCTTACCACCGAACATCAAAAGACGTGTTAACAATCTCTTATCAACTCAAAAAAGGAGAATTCATAAAGTAGCATAAGGATTCTATTACAAAATCAACGTGAACAAAAATCGACCACGTTGTGCATCGGAGGGAGCCCTTCTCAGACAAGTTTATAACTAAATTACTTACCTCTATCGCATGAAAACCTGGAATGACACTGTACAGGTTCGAGTAAGCGACCCACGAGTCTTGGCTGCCATCTCTAACCACTGCACTCCTTGCACCCTTAATATTGGATGAAGTACTAAATTCTTTATTGCATTCTATAATTTTATGTCGGTAAATGCTTGCTGTTTTCTACACTAGTAATGCTGCTAATAAATAAAACTAAAAATTGTTCAGGTTTCCACGTCTTCGATCTCAGAGCACTGAAACTGGAAGAGTGAAGGGTATGGAATCTATGGTAGGCAAAGCTCCTGCTCATGATGGGCACAAGTACATCATCACTTCACTGTCTCAGTCACATGAGTGAGCCGATTTTTATACTTTATCCTATCAAGCTAGAGTTTAAAAGGGACGAAGTGATCTCTTTCTAGTTCAAAAACCTAAAAAATTTCTTGGGTGCTGTTCTCATCATACCTTGTCACTGTATCCTGAAATATTTGATGCTTACATTACAATAACAGTCTTTTTTTGTTATATTATTCTCCGACATCGTGTCATTCCAAAAACGATAAAATCCGAAGAGCCTTTGCAACCTATTTGTCAACACGATTCATAGCACTTTTTGTGCCTCTAACTAGAGGCTGGTTCATCTTGGGAATGAGATAGATCACCGTTTATTCTTGAAATACTAATACAATCTAATATCTGTTTTCACTCTGCACTCATTATGGAGAAGATCGAATGCATTCTTCGCAGATTTGCTCATCGTTCGCACTAAAGGCTCGATGTCTTGTTGTTATTTTGATAAAAAATCAGAACTACATAACGAAGTGCAAAGGAGTGCAATGATGTATGGCTTGCAACTCACGTGACCCTGGCTTCACCGATCGTTCAAATGTCGAGGAAGACTTTAGGAGCGGATACCTGGAGTGGGGCAGTGGGTGCTACCTAGTCGAAATTCACTTTAATCCTTGTTTACAGTTTCACTTACTTCGTCAAAGTGAAACCCACTTAAGAGGCAGCTTCCACTTATGGTCTTGCTTTCATCTCTTTAATTTTTTTTATCAGAATTTCTGTCAAGGGACTCTAGGCTTTGTTGGCTTACCGATTTCCTTTTTTAGGAGTTCTGTCTTTTTGAAGCACTGGTTTTTAAAAACCACTCATTGTTCTCCGACTCTTTTTTCATCATACTGAAAGGGTCTTAAAGAAGTTCATAACAAAGTAACAAGTAACTTAATTTTTTTTAAAAAGTAATTAAAGGAAAATGACGTACAAATGGTGTTCGATGGGACGAGTGAAGCACAGTTGTCGGAGGCGCCCTGCAATACACATATGATTGATCTTCGCACCCCAGGCTCACCAAGCCTTCCATCCCTTCGGGGTCGGTAAATTGGTACCAGACTTGTTCGGGAGGGTAGCAGCACTGGCTCGATATATCGGTAGGCCACCACGAGTCATTGTAGAGGTCAGACATGCATTCGGTCACCTCCAACGATGCTTAATGGAGTCGAGTGCATGGCGTATTCCTCAGAGATTGATCAACGCCTAGTGCTTTATCCTTTACCTCTTGCAGTCTTCGGTGAGTTGCTACTAGAAAGAGCAAAATAAAAAAGGCAGAAAGAACCTTTGGTCATTATTTGGTTATGCCTAGTTTCTTTTTAAACTCATAAGGAGGAAAACCAGTAATTGAACGGGTATGCCAATGTTGTACCGTTCTGAATCATACAATTTCTATTGATTTCATCAGAATAAATACAACGGCAAAAAATTTTGATTAGGTGCAATTTTTTCTACAGGACCGTCCGAACGCCAAGTGTCAGACGGTTTTGTGCGGAAGTGAATGCCTCCTCCACAACAAAGCCCGAGATGAGTGACGAACCAAGAAAAGCCGCCTCCGTCGTGCTCTCCTGTCCCGGCGAACAGGTACCTAATCTAAAAGTTTTAACAGCTATGAGTATATCTAATAAAGCAACATTGCTGAATTCTTTAAGATTCCATGCAATTATCGCGCTAATAACAATATCCCTTCAATACGACAACTCATCTTGCTCATTTTCTTGCTCATCTACGCATAGGATGTGTTATAATATGAAAGCGGAATTTAGAATGAAGCCTTGTTAGCTAAAATAATAATCTAGTAAAATTCTAGTTTACTAGCCATCCTGAATGTAGCCATATTTTCACGTTTGAATTATTCGATGTTTGAATTGTATAACACCTTGAGGTGTGACCATCTGAATCCACTCATTTCTGATGAGATCAATGACTAAATGTCATCGACAGCACCATGTTTTCCATATTTTCATATATTTAGGTGCCATGCACTTCAACACCAAATAGAAATATCTTGGTTGAGCGGGAGCACGGTGATGAGGTGGAGATCGCTCACGAGGAAAGACCTCTTTTGGAAGAAACGAGGAACTTCCCCACGTCTTCACAAAATGTGAATGAAAATCACAGGTAACTAAAAAGTAGCACACTATTGAAGAAAGGTTTTTCACCTGACGGCTTAGAATCAATTACTAAATATGTTATTACCATAGCCTTTTTGATTTCCATTAATTCAACTCTTTACTGTAACAGCAGATGCGTCCAGCGCTAAGCCCTAGTTTGCAATTACAGAGTGAGAAGAATGAGCTATAAAATAAGTTTTAAGATGAATTTACAAACAAATGCCTCAGATTAACACATATATTCCAGATCACTGCAAATTTTATGGAATAAATGGGTTTTAAAACGTTAACCATCTTCGGCTAGTATTCTACCCATTTTTCGTTCTAGCCACAGAATCAAAAAGGTTACCGAGGAAAAACAATCACAGTTAAAAGAAGGAAAAATCAGTTTGAAATGCTCTGACTGCCTAATGATTTATCAGCACAACTCTTTTATTCTCCTAGGTTACTCTGCCACCACTCTAGCGATGTCGAAAGAATGGAGGACTTATTTGACCCTATGTGGGGTTGAACCAAAGACAGTGGTTTTATTGCAGGGCACGTTTGATCACGTGCGAAAAACCACGCCTAAAGAAATAATGCCATTTTTTCCTGGCATGCATTAGAATTCCTTAAGAATGGAATGGAATGCATCGCACATGGCCGATTATTAACCAAAAACCAATATTCGATCTTTGATCAAGGGTTTTTGGTTCAGACACCCAGTGGAGTTGATCAGCGATGGCCGCGAAATAAGGCATTCCCATTCGGTTCCAACGAATCCGGATTACGAGGTGAGTCTGGAAGAAAATAATGATCAGATCACTTACTTAGTTAATTCTCATAAATGCAAGATATTATGTTACAACATTTGACTATGTCACATTAACTTACAATATTGTTCACTAAAACGGGGTGTAGAGCACTCAAAAATTGTATTTTAGCGCAAACTATAATCCTTACTTGAAAGCAGGGAAGCAACCTCTTACGTGTAAGTTATTAATGAAGTTACACTCACAGAGGCTTACAATTATCCTCATAGGAAAATTTTGATGGTACCGGGTAACTAGACATGACCCTAGAATTTTATGTTCTCAAGGGCAACTCTCGCAAGGTCTTTCATCATATTTTCTCATTTAAGTTTCTTTTTAAGTCTCATTTTACGAATCGAATCCTTATAAAATGTTTTAGTGTTTTTTAACAGAGAAGTTTTTTCTGGCGAACAGAGCCAAACAAGCCGTCATATAACCGGTTGCTAGCACTCGATTGTGTAGAGTTTAATTTCTTCTTATCGAAGGCTTTATACATACTGTCACGCAACAAGTTGTTTGCACCGGTCTTGTGAAGGTCGCTTCCTTCTTCTCAAGATTTTTGAGACTCTTCCTTCTTTTTCCCATAATAATTAGGAATTTGTGATTGATTCACCAATTCAACCTTGATGGGATCTCAATACCTAAAAAATGGCATTTACCCTCAAACCAAGAATGTGCTTTTTCTAAAGGCTTAAAGCTTTTTGTTTAAGGTGATTATTCCTCCTTTACTTTTCTTGGCTTCATGCATCTGACTACGTAATGACAATTTTAAAAGCTAGTTATTGTTTTTTACACTCAACAATACTGTCATTTGACTGTGACGGTCAAATTGCTGGTACCATCATGGAGTTCACATCTGTCAGCGTTGTCCACCGTTTTCCTCATCAATGTGAATTCCCAGTCATAGGAAAACAGTGGCAATTATTAGGAACACAGCAAACGCAGAGAGTTGGAGAAGGAACTCATATCGCACATCTAGTGAGGAAAACAGTGGACAACGCTGACAGATGTGAACTCCATGATGGGACCAGCAATTTGACATAACGAGGAGGCAACACATATTCGCTCATCAACCACGTCAGCAGTGGCGGAGAGGCTTAGGGGCGTTGAAGGTGGGAAACTCGAATAATGTGAAGTCGTAATACAACTTAAACACTGAGAATAGGTGATAACATTTCTCATGATTTAATGCTATACATTATTATACGGCCTCGAATATCATATTTGATAGTAATAAAAGTCTTTGATCTTGTATGTACTCAGTATGTAGATGAAACTTTAACCTTTAAACACCGCTTGTACAGAACTTCTTTAAAAAGAATTTAAAGGGCTGTATTTTTGAAATCGCGCTGCTTCTTTTATAATGTGTGGTAGGTGAAGAAATTTCTAGTTTTAACTAATAAACTGCTACAAACAGTATGAAGAGGTCCGTGACAAGTGGTTGGTTCAACACTACTGTTCTTGACTGCTAAAATATCCTAAATCCTAACCGCTGATAACGTTTCACTCACTATTCTGTTACTACTATGTTAGTAACTATAAATTGCCGCTTAACTAATGTAAGTGCTTGTAGAAAAGCAAACCTGCCGACTGCCCAGCTTCTGTTGATGATGAAACCTCCCACTCAAGTATAGTGGGTTCGTCTCCAATTGTTGTCATCAATCAGCATCGCAAAGGAATTCCGATTTTGCTCGACGGCGGCAAAAATCGAAAAAGGTGTACCATCACAGACATTGACTGGTTCGCTGCCTTTAATATGAAGGTATTCGTCTGAAGTGTTCTCTGTAGAAAATTCAACTCTCAGTTTGGCTTTGCCTGGTGTCCAAAACACGATTTCCTTCAACGGTTTGGTAGAATAATGGTGTAATCATTACGACCAGTAGTTACTGATGGCGAGGAGTTTAAGATTAGCATGTTTACTTCGATGAAATATAATAGTAGGAAAGTCTCATATGGACAAAGTGCAGTCATTACAGGATGTACAAAAGCTTCTAAAGCTTCTTTAAATCTTCATGAGCTGCATGAGCTGCATGTATGTTGCGAGCTAATGTTCTCATTTGTTTTTTAACACTTGTTTCCAGTAGACCACGTTCAAGGTATTGTACATTTGCTCTCAAAGCTTCCACTACATCTTTACTCTGCAGGAAGGCTGGCAAAATGGATGTTCACTAGAGTTCTACTAGGTTTTACCACTTAGACGAAAGAATAGTCGACAAGATAGAATTTGCCATTCTGTTGACACACTGTTAAGTTGTTTCATGAGAATTACCTACAAGAATCACTATTATCTTCGGGTCTCAATTCGCATTCATCCATTTAGCTATCATCTTCGTAATGACTGTGATCGTACGACTATTTTAAAATCAACCTAAGGAGGTAAATGATGTAAAAAGTAAATTAATATAATTCTAATGCACATTGCATTATGGTGGGGTCTATAACGAGTACTGTATGTCCAGAAGTGACCAAATACAAATGAAAGCAGAAGCTTAGAATCACCAAGCTTACTATAAAATTTAGGTGAAAAATAAAGAGTTACGTGGTAATATTAGTAGCTAACACTCTCGAAACTAAATGAATTGAGTTGATAATGATTGAACGTTGAAAAGCAAATTATTATCAACGGACAATCCTTATCATCAACAACTGCCCAGTGTAAAAGAGGTTGCCGGGTGAGGTTGCCTCGAGCGGTGCTCCACTGAAGAAGATTCGACTGGATAGGACAACGGAGATACCACATCTATAGGGCGAGGACTGTGGAACATATACACGGAGCATCGGCTCTGAAAAAGACAAAACATTCGAAACGTAAGCGGAATAAATGTTTGATAACAACATCGTGTTAGCGTTTCAATAAAATTAGGTATATGAATTGATTTCAACGACCTTTTTAGACTATTAAGTTGACACGCGGTTGGTAAAAGGTTTATTCGGCTAACGTTTCGACATCTTTGTCTTCGTCAGAACCGATGATCCCAGTCGATGGTCTGCAGTCGTTCGTCCTGTAGATGTGGTGCCTTCGTTGGCATATCGAGCAGGATCTTCTTCAATGGAGCACCGCTTGAATGAGGCAACCCTCGGCGGCGCTCTTTTATACAGGAATGTCGTTGATGATAATGATTGTTTATTAGGTAAAATTAATTGTATTAGTTGATATTGCATGATTCCCAACGGACAATCCATTCTGCAGTAGTCGGTATTATATTAGCTAGCACATAGCGAGTATAATAATTAGCACATAACGATTCTTGGTTCCAGCGAATTCCTTGTACGACTGCTTCTTTTGGTGCACAAAATCTTTCTCCGATAGCATTTGCAGGGAACCGATAACTTCGTAGTGATGCTGTCGCGCCAGATCTAATCCGGAACAAATATTCTTCCACACAACGTTGCTGAGATATTTGCAAAACTCTGGACCGCAGGTGTCTATGGTGGGGAACGAACGCGTTATTGTCCTTTCCGGGTAGTAACGCGTTCACCACCACACCATGCGGGTCCTTTGTTTCGCCTGTCTCTCAGCTATTTTTATCGAACTTTGCCACAGCAATCACCCGTCAGGGGGATTGATCTGGAGCGCAATTATAGTAGGCAGAAAATAAAAAGGTATAACATTGTGATTTCAACTACAGCCGCAGCTTAACTGGGTTCTATGCCGATTTGGGTGCCCCGGATCAATCTCGCTGACGGGTGATTGCTGTGGAAAAGGTCGATAGAAATAGCTAAGAGACAAGCGAAACAAAGGACCCGCATGGTGTGGTGGTGAACGCGCTACTCCCCGGAAAGGACAATAGCGCGTTCGTTCCCCACCATAGACACCTGCGGTCCAGAGTTTTGCAAATATCTCAGCAACGTTGTGGTTGTATTTCGCTTAGTACCCTGCCGCGAAATTATAGTAGGCAGAAAATAAAAAGGTATAACATTATTCTTCACACAGTTTATCGTAAATATAGCCAGTAGGTCTAATTTGTTCTTCTCCAGGAGTCCGTTGACGATTCATTGCTTTCATTGTACTAATAGAGTAGCACAGTGATTATTGTTGGAAAAAGTCTAATAAGAAGTTTCCGTTTATTCATAGAGGGGCTCGCAATGTTCGTTTGGTATTTTTTGTTGAATGTTAGGCTTCAAGATGGTGTGTCTTGTGAAGCATTAGTGGTTCTGGTCAACCGTTATTCTAAGAGCATTAGCATGCTTTCAGAAGGGCTTGAGATTTTAACCCCTTTATTTACTGCCTTTTCCTTGTTAATGGCAGAGTATGTTGCGAAATATAACTCGTATATAATGCTGAGATATTTGCAAATCTCCGGACCGCAGGTGTTTGCGGTGGAGAACGAACGCGCGCTATTGTGCTTTCCGGGGAGTAGCGCACTTCACCACCACACCATGCGGGTCCTTCGTTTTGCCTCTCTCTCAGCTATTTCTATCGATCTTTTTGCCACAGCAATCACCCGCCAGCGGGATTGATCTAGGGAGCGCAAATCTGCATAGAACCCAGTTAAGCTGAGGCTTAGTTATAATCACAATCTTAACCCTTTTATATCTCCCAAGTCCGACTTTCTATTAACCTCGGCATTGATTAAATCTTTCTACTTCTGTTCAGCAAACACGACGTGCTATTTTATTTCTTTATTTACGCACAAGCTGACGTTTCGGCGGATTTCGCCTTCCTCAGAGCCTGGAAGGGTCAAGTTGACAGCAATCCACTCGGCCAAACACCTCCATAACCAAACAGAGAAAACGCTAAACCAAAATTTCAATCACATTTAGCATAGCTCTGCACACTCACCGCTTTCTATGAGTCTTCCCTGAGTATATCGCATGAAGACCAACCGCACAGAATTCACATGGAAGCGTAATGTTCTCCTCCCATCAGAATAACAGGTTTATATACTGTCCAATACCACGCGTGATAACGAAGCATTCCTCCCTGCGGTTCATTTTCGGATTCTTGGAATTAATCCAGAATGCCTCTAGAGTTTTGCGCGCTTGTGTTCTCGATTCTTGCGCGAGGATCGTAACCCTTACTTCAAATTCTTCTCCGTTATGTTTCTGCGTGCTATGCGTACCTAGTGGAGTACTTGGCTTACGTTTGCCGACTAAGTGTTCTTTTATACGTACGCAGAGTGGTCTACCCGTTTCGCCAACGTATTCGTCCCCGCACGCTTTACAAGAGACCAGATAGGCTGTACCCGAACTCATGCAGTCACTTGTCTTCTTTTATATCTCTTTTTAAGTTTTGCAAATATCTCAGGTTTATATACGAGTTATATTTCGCAACATACCCTACCGTTAAAAAGAAAAAGGCAATGAATAAAAGGGTTAAAATTGTGATTATAACTAAGCCTCAACTTAATTGGGTTCAATGCCGATTTGGGCTCCCCATAATCCCGTTGATAGGTGATTGCTGATGGCAAAAGATCAACAGAACTAGCTGAGAGACAGGCAAAACGAAAGACCCTGATGGTGTGGTGGTGAAGTGCTCTACTCCCCGGAAAGGACAATAGCGCGCGTTCGTTCCTCACCGCACACACCTGCGTTCCGGAATTTTGCAAATATCTCAGCATTATATAGGACTTGAAATTGTTGTTAACCTTTATCCTCAGAATAATGTTCTCCATTAACGTAGCTTTCCCCCTGAACCGTCACAAGTTGTCAACTTTTATCCTCAGAAGAATGTTACGCTTTAATATAGCTTACCTTTTAAAGCATTGCAGGTAGTTGTGGGCAATTACCCTCAAAGGAGTGTTGTGTTTCAACATGGGTCTTTTAAAGCATTATAGCTTGTTTTCAACCCTCATTTCAAAAAAATTGGCATGCTTTTGGAGCACTATAGGCTTTTGTGAACCCTCATTCTCAGAAGAGTGTTGTGTCTCAACGTAGCTAGCCGTTTGAAGCGTTACAGGTTGTTGTTAACCCTTATTTTCAGAAGCTTCTGCTGACGTTGTAAATTTTGTCATCAAACAATCCCTCGCACATATTTTAGATTTTACTCTCTACGTCGTTATTATTTACAATCTACCCATGTTTTTGATACCAGGATCCATCCATTGATAATCTGCCTCGCTTCTTTAACGAAGCAAAAGTGGCCATACTTTGCTCATTTCTTGTAACAGTCACCGAAAGTCCACCATTTTTGCCGAGCCTTAGTTTCTCTCAAGATATGACTAGTTGAAGTCGTAGCAGCAGTACCAATTTGAAGATACCTGAAACACGCTTGAACCTAGACCTCATTCACTGCAGTTTTCTGCACATTCTCGCAAAAAACCCGCTATGACTCTGCCGAACGTTTCCGAGTGACTAGGTTGAAAACACATCTATGGAATTCTAACTTTCAACAATAAAAGTCACCAGAAACGAAAGCTGCTTATTAAAACGGTTTCTTACGGCATAGTGCAAATACGTTCTAGTTGCCGAGAACTAGTGGGTGGTCATTCATGTCGACATCGAAATTGGTGAGTCCGTGAGAGAGGATGATGAAGCAAAAAAGAAAAAGCGCCAATAATCTAATAAGATAGTGGTTTTCTCACATATTGTCAAGGCGGATTTTCCACAATACAATATTCATCTATATGATGTGGAATAGCATCTTTGGTGTCCAACCTTCCATTCACACCAGAATCTTGTGAAATCATTAATTTCTCCTTTTCGAGTCGCCGACTGATCAATAAGGCATTTATGCATGCTGGTTGACTAATTTACATCACACTCGAGAAGTGAAAGCCAAAAATATTGGAAGTACATAGAAAGGTCTAGGAGACATTAAAATAAAACATAGAAGTTAGTAGTCGTAGAAGAACCGAACTGCATAGCGTATAGTTGCTATCCTCCCAACGGTCTGCCGCCCATCGTGGCTGGGAGGTGTTCCCGGGAGTTGAACAGCGATGTACAGCGGGAGTTCGTCTCCCGGCAGGGTTTTCAAGCTGGGAATTAGTTTGGCGTTTCCATAGGAAAGCCTAGCTAAGAGTAAACCATTACCAGGATCTGCTAGCGTTCTGGTATCAAAGTCACATGGTGGCAAATCTCCCTCTGATCCTCAAGGGTTGTGACTGTCCGTGGAGATGAGGACCTGGGACAGACTTCGGTCAGGCTGAGCTCGGGATTCCAGAAAACCACAATGGCTTAACCAGCAAATCTCCGACAAATGGTGATTATGATGGAGTCCGCACAATCACTGAGGACGGGCCGTTCAAGTGCCAAGTGTCATTATTTGCTATCGCTAAAGGTGTTGTTAAAGGTATTGGTGCTTACATGGTTGCCTCGGAAATTGATGCATCCCGTTGAACAGACACACAGAGGAATTCGTTTATGGCAGCAGTTCTATTAGTGACGAAGGAAATAAACAAAGAGTTGAAACTTTTCTAAAAGACTCTAAGAACACCATCGAAAGTGAGTAGATTTACAGTATAGATCTATATGGCATGGAAGCTGGTAGAATAGAAAATATGTGCTGCTGTAGTGCGAAAACGCATGAAATCACTTTTTTGAATTCCATCCGTTTATGAACGAAAAGACGAGAGTAGCATAGTGGTTACTGTTGCCCTACCATACACACAGGTTCGACACCACGCTCTGGGCTCACCGAGCCTTTCACTCTCATGATTGATAAATTGGTACCAGTCCTGTCTGAGAGGATAGCACTGACTCGATACATCGGTAGACCACCGCAAGTCATTGTATAGGCCAGATACTCAGATATGCATTCAGTCACCTCTAGAAATTTCTGAGGAAGTGTCGAACCAAGAGCTTCATTCTTTTTTTATAAACGAAATTTCGCGCATTGCCCTTGGATCAACGATCTGAGCCAGTTATTAAGGACAACAGTATCAAAATAGTGTCTTCTCTCATGATCACAGAGTTGAAATATTACCAAAATTGTAGCGATCGAGCAGAAAGGGAACAGAGTCGAGAAGGCAAGGATATAACACGAATTAATCAATTTTACAATAATATTACCTGGCTTACCTACCTTCACTCTAATCATCAAGTAACTCAAACGAACACACAGAAGTTCTATTCTTCCCTGTTGCCCAGAAATCCAGCGTGTTGCACTAGTGCTAAGAACACGATGCGCATCATATTTTTGGCATCATGCCTTTTTCTAATTGCTTTTGGAAAGGGGGATAGCCAGGAATCCTTCGTCGAACTTTCTCCTAGCTTAGAATTAGTCTTTTCCATTCTTCCTACTAGAAGATGTCAACCTGAAAATATTCAGTGTAGTTAAAGATAAACATCTCCATCTCTCCCATTGCAAACAGTCGCTCACCCGTTCGTTTCTTACCAATGGTTTTTGCCTGGTTGTAGTTGAGCAGTATTCTTGGGTTTCAAACTGCGATTTACAGCTGAGTGTTCATCAACTAAACTGCCCAATATAGGACTAGAAGCTCGATATTTTAAAACACACTTAAAATATGGCATCATACAAAAAGTTGGTGCTCTTCATATCTCTGGAGTGAATAAGGCTCACTGTGCACCCTAACGCGCAGTAGGAAGGAGCGGATGTTTTGTTCTTAATATCAGTTTTTGCCACATGTTTTTCCTTTTTCTCTTTTTAAAAAAATCTTTTTGTTTGTCTGAATTAGTTACGAAGATAATCACCCGTCAGCGGGATGAAGGACAATAGCGCGTTCGTTCCCCACCATAGACACCAGCGGTCCAGAGTTTTTCAAATATCTCAGTAACGTTGTGGTTGTATTACGACGATGATCGTTCGTTTGTTTTTCTTCAAATCATTATTTTGTCTGTAGGCTGCCCTGGAAAGTTGTATTCGACATGGCCCCTTTCTCCACCAAAAGAGAACATTTTGAAAAGCAATACTCTAAGAAGTACTATTTACAGAATTTACAGTCAGAATGGTTATAGACATTTTGAGTTAGACTGAGAGACAGGCGAAACGAAGGTTCCGCATGGTGTGGTGGTGAACGCGTTACTCCCCGGAAAGGTCAATAGCGCGTTTGTTTCCCACCATAGACAACTGCGGTCCGGAGTTTTGCAATTATCTCAGCATCATTGAAAATGGTTATAATTCACAGCATCGACTTTCTATTAACCTCGGCATTGGAATATGAATGAGTCCTTTTCTTGTTCAGCAGTCGCGAGGCTGTTAAACAACATACATTCACTTCCATAGAAAAACACAATACAATACCAAAGTAGCTGATGATTCGGCAGATCGCCTTCTTCAGAGCCTGGGAGTGTATACTGATATACAATCTACTAGGCCAAACACTTCAATAACACTTACAAAAAGACGAAAACTCTCTGGTAATTACATGGTCAACAGCTTCTTGAAAAACTCGCCGCTTTTTTCGTGACTTCCAAGTAGAAAGATTAGAACAGCTGATTATAGTTGCATATGGTCGATGACCGCACGACCTCATCAGAAATTACTTCGCGCAAATAAGAGAGTTCACAATGGGACAGCGACTGACATCAAGCCCTGCCATTGAGTTTATTTCTAAGATAGAAACTCCTGTTCTCGATCTCCGGCCACTACTCTACTGCAGATATATAGATAATTGTTTTGTCGCCTTCTGTACGCAGGAGGAGATGGGCAAATGCTTTGAATTATTGAACGAGCATTCTGAGCACATAAAGTTCACCAGGGAGAAACCGGGAAAAAACTGGGTTCCGTTTTTAAACGTTCAAATAAACCTATCAAGTAGCTGTTACTTGACAAAGTGGTACCGAAAGCCAAGTAACAAGAAGATCCAAGATTCACTTCCTTTCTTCCCACCCTTCACACACAAAGAAGGCGCATGTGAGAATCATGTTCCGAACAGCCACCTCTGTGTACACAACCAGGGAACTAAAGGAAGAATTGCGCGACGTGGCTCGGCAAATAGCCATCTCCAATGGCTACGAATAGGAACCCAACGGGATAGGTTTAGAAGGAAAGCGAAGCGCCCACGCGAAACACGTGGCTGAAAGAAAGTCCCGTTTATGTTACCTTTTATTAGCGATGGAGTAAGCGTAGCTATTAAACAATGCTTAAGAATGGCACGTCTAAAGGAATCGCTAGCGATAGTTGAAATACCACTGGCTACTCTACGTCGTCAGTTAGCTCGTAACCGCCTGTATGACCGTCTGTGTGAAACAACAAATTGCGTAATTTGCCCTTACGGTAGGGACGGCGACACACATAGGATACAAAAGCTTGGCGGAGACGATTTTGAAGTTAAAGTCAACATCCTTGCACAGGAGAGTAAAACACCAGTGCGAAAACTTCTTGAGGCTTTTTGGATAAATGCCAAGAACCCTACAATGAATAGCAGGGATGAATACCCAGAGGTCATACGCGACCTGATCTCGTATGTTCGCATCAATTCTGATGTGGTATGGTAGGCAGCCATCAACCATATGCGTCTATAATCAGCAGTTCTAATCTTCCTCATTGGATGGTGCAGTCGTCAACCACATGCGACTATAATCAGCTGTTCTAAACTTCCTCATTGAAAGTCACGAAAAAGCGGTGGGTCTTCTTTCGAGAAGCTGTTGATCATGTAATTACCATAGAGTTTTTCGTCTTTTTGTAAGTGTTATTGAAGCGTTTGGCCTAGTAGATTGTATATTAGTTTGCCCTTCCAGGCTCTGAAGAAGGCGATACTGCCGATACGTCAGCTACTGTCGTATTGCATGGTGATTTTTTCTATGGAAGCAATGTATGTTGTATAGCAACTTCGCGATGGCTAAAAAATTGGTTATAATTGTTCTGCTTCCATCTAAAGTCTTTCCTTCGAACCAGTCACTAAAACACATTCTTATAGTATGTGTTTTTGAAAAAAATCTGCTTAACTGCCACGACCGACTTTTTATTAACATCGGCATTGATCAAGTAATTTTCTTCGTATTTTTGTTGAGCAAACGCGAGGTGTTATTATTCTTTGTTCACGATTAAGCTGACGTTTCGGCGGATTTCGCTTTCCTCAGAGCCGCTTCCTATGAGGTTCCCACTAAGTATATATATATATATATACTATATATATACTATATATATACTATATATATATACTATATATATACTATATATATATACTATATACTATACTATATATATACTACATATATATACTATATATATATATATACTATACTATATATATACTATATATATACTGTATATATATACTATATATATATACTATATATATATACTATATATATACTTAGTGGAAACCTCATAGGAAGCGGCTCTGAGGAAGGCGAAATCCGCCGAAACGTCAGCTTAATCGTGAACAAAGAATAATAACACCTCGCGTTTGCTCAACAAAAATACGAAGAAAATCTGCTTAGATACTTAAGCAATTCGTCTTAGTGAATCGTATAGCTTGCTCTCAATACTTTTAGTGAAACTGCTTGGCCTCACTTCTTCTATATGGCACTAAATGGCTACTTCGTTTTCATGTCTTGTTGAACCCAATTTCACTAATAAGAGAATTCAATTAAAGCTTTTCAACTTCATAACGTCAAACATTTAGGAACCACCGAGGTCGAAATCTCCACATAACCAGACTGTGGACGTTCTAAAAGAAGCAGAAATTGTAGGCGGTCGTAGCCACTCCACGTTAGTGCCATCAAAGCGGTACAGATTTATCGGAATCGGTTTTTGAAGGCATGCGATGACTCTTGGAATTTTCAGGGAAGCTGAACGAAAGGAGATGAACGAATCTAAAATCAATATTGACGACGTATTCTGCGAGAATTCTGAGGTTCAGGCCGTTCGTAAAAAGTGCCCTTGTAGCGCTTGTAACCTTCTGCAGTTGAACGATGACGAAAGAAAACAACTGGGACGACAAAGCTCAAGACCACCAAAGTGCATTTTACATACCGATCTTCCAGAACCGCCATCATCAAATATCACGCCTGCCGTAGAGATTTCTCTGGATGAAATATTCTGCGTGGCTAATAGCAGTACAACCCAGGGCGAAATAGTGGGAAATGGAAAAGAAAAAGGTAGAAGCATAAAAAATATTTACGACCGTTCTGCAAACAGTTGTGTGATCGGATCTGCAGCGCCGTTACGCGAGCCGGAAACAGATGTGAGGAAATCGTCTTCGTCACCAGAGTATCCGAATTCGGGTTCTAGGCAAACTACATGGAACGAAAATGTGCAAACACGTTCATCGGATTTCAAACTAACTGCAGAAGAAATAGAATCAAACGAATACGACAGAGCTCATAGGGCACCCTTGGAACCAGTACCGTCAATCGCTGAACACCGTCTATCAAACCCCGAATTGTACAACGGAGCCCCACAGTCACTTAACTGGGTGGAAAAGCTGGTCGTTAGTGGTGACGGCGGTTCGTCTGTAAACTCCAACACTTACGAAATCTTGAAAACGACTTCCACAACTTTTGCACCAAGGAGGCCAGCACGTGGCAAAGAAGTGAATGAAGAATTAACACATATGGAGGTAAAAACAGCGAATGGGTCGGTTCCCAGTTTGCGGTTAGGCGATAGGGCAACCGTACCAAAGACTAGAGAATGGCAAAAGGCGGGTGAGATAAGACAGATCAATCATGAGCAGATTTTCATTGGTTCAGCGAATAACGTAAAGAATATTCGAAAAAGTGGATATGACCCCCACACGACGACTCCGGTCGGTACTAAGAGAAAAGGAGAGAAAGTTGAGGTGAGTTCTTCTGCCAAGATTTAGAAGCTATATTGTTAATATAATAACGTTTTTGATGCATTTTCCTGTTTGATGTAGCTAAAGATGCTTTTTCTTATTAAGCGTATCACTGTACTCTTTTCGTCTTTGCATTTGTGCTTTATCTAGTTGCAAAAACTTGAAACTAAGGAATATTTTAATTTTTACTTACCGCCTCTTCGTTCTTACTTCTCGTAGCAGTGAACGATGTGAAATTAAGCCACAAGGATGCTGCGATATGAGGAAAACTTGGAATCCTAGGCTTCGAACCTGCGTTTAATCTACCTAAGCCCTTTGCGGTTTCGAGTCTCGCTCTTCTGTCAGCGTCCTTGTGATTGTAAAAGTCAAATAATTTTTACGGCCTGGTTTCATATTATTGTAGTTATACGCATTGACAAGTCAATGCTTAGCTGAACTTGCGAAGAGCGAATGGGTTCGAAACTTTTCTAAACGTGGACATATGCATTTCTTTGAAGTAATCTGCAAACGTTTCCATCTTCTTTAATTTTAATGGTTTAATTCAAATTGACTTTGTTGTTTCAGCCTGTGATGGCCGGAGAGCACCCTACTAAACTTCGAGCAGACCTTAATGCAGCTGAACTTCATGGACACGCAGAATATGAGCCAACTGGTTAGCAGTGAAAGTGTTCTTTCGTGAAACAATAGCATTTACCTCTTCATAACGACATCTTTTTCAAAATTTACTTAGTTATTTAGTCCATCATTGCATCCACTGTGCTGCAAAAGTTTGTTTCCTCCTCTAAAACATAGGTTTTTCCACTTGCTATTCTGAAGCAGTATCTTTTTGCTTACAATTTTTTTTCGAGCATACGAAAGTGTAGAACAGTGATGGGTTGGACTCAAGCTAGCTGTTGCCGATTGCTACGATCGCCGTGCCTCACAAAGTCCTCCGTCGTTCTGTAGCCGCTCAGTTTGTAGTAAATCCGCTACCGTGAGACGAAACATCGTTGTGTTAGCTAACTGATGACAGAAGGCATCCACCGTGAAAACCACATTTACAGCCGTTCATACTTAAAATTGGAGACCTTGAATGGCAGTAGTGTTATAAAAGATTGGTTAACGCTTAGAGTTTTTTATTCACGTGCTTATCATTTTTCACCTCTCTTTCCGCGTATGCACCAAATACTCAAAGAAATTGGCAAAATTTCATTCTCATGGCTTAGGATCTGTTGCTTATTTCGGAAGGAACTCCACAGTTTCCCAGGAGCTTGGCTAATGCCAGATTGACCCAACACAATCGGCAGCCGTCAACCATATGCGACGCTGATCAGCAGCTCTTCCTCAGTGGAAGGAACGTCAAAACGGCTCTGAAGAAGGCGACACCGGCGAAACGTCTGCTACGATTGTGTTGTATGTGTGTTATTGTATGGAAGTAAACGTATGCTGTTTAACAACCTCGCAGTTGCTGAGACAGAAAACGACGAATTTATAATCTAATACCGAGGTTAATAGAAAGTCGATCCTGGAAACTTAAACTTATGTTTTTCCATAAAACATTCCACTGTTCTCACAATGTGTCCATGGAACAGTTTTTGAAAAGCTGCAAAACTTTCTAGTATTTCCTTAAGCGCGCGATTCTTCGTGTCCCCAAATCAAAACAGTCTCAATTGAAATAGGCAGTTATGAATCATTAGATCAAACCTCACTTTTTCCTACCTATATACCTCAAAAGAACTTCCTACTTCTAGGGTTTCGATGCTCTTCCAACGGTTTACCCCCTCATCGTGGCTAGTAGGTGATTCTGGGTGTCGGACTGCTATGTACAGCGGGAATTCATCCCTTGGCAGAGTCTCCCAAGCTGAGAAGGAGTCCGGCATTTCCATCAAGAAGTCTAGCTAAGAGTAAACCAATGCCAAGATCCACCACCGTCTTGGTATCAAAGTCGCATGGTGGCAAATCTCCCTCTGATCCACAAGGGCTGCAACTACCCGTGGTGGTGAAGACGTGGGGCAGACTTTGGCCAGGCTGACCTCGGAACTCCAGGGAACCACAATGGCTTAACCAGCAAATCTCCGAGAAATGGAGATTATGCTAGAGCCCGCGCAACCAGTGAGGACGGGGCCATTCAAGTATCAAGTAAGTAAGTTTTTCGATGCTAATCTTCAACCGTATTTTGTAAACAATTAGCAACTGCGAGGTGGTTGTCGTTACTTTTTTAACTACAATTGATGAATAACGAAACATTTTGTTGTGACGGTGGTTTTACTTAATGAACTTATAGCGCAGGTGATATGACAATGTGTTAGTAACTACGAAAAGGGGACGCGTGGGAGGTGAGCCGGAGAAATTTTCTTGACACGTTGTAGTGTAGTTGAAGGTTTTTTCGCCGCTGTGTGGTGTTCCGCGTTTCGTACCTCAGTGAGGTGATTGTTGGCGCTTTGCGTCGTATGGTGAAATGGAATTGTGATGAACTAAAAGATTACTCCTATGGTCGTCTCTCTGTTAGCCTCGGTGTTGATTGATAATTCGATGTTTTTCTTCAGTAACCAGACACGAGTTTGTTATTATAGAGTTTATTAGGATATGATAGCCGACGTTTCGGTGGTTTTGTCTTCTTCAGAGCTGTTTATTCGTTGTAAATATTTCAGTTAGTGGTTGGATAGCAGCCACACAGAGTAATACATGGGCAAGGACTGAAATAACTGACTAATTAAAATATTTGCAACAAATAAACGGTTCTGATGAAGGCGAAACAGCCGAAACGTCGGCTATTGTATCCTAATAAGCTCTATAATAACAACCTCGTGTCTGCTTATGAAAGATACTCATGTTGCCATCAGTAGATAATTTTTGGGCTTGCATTGGAAGTTCGTCTTCAACTGAAGATATCGAACTGTCATGATTTCAATATTTGTTAGTTTATTAAGCTAACACAATGTTGTGATAAACATTTATTCGTATAACATTTCGACGTGTTCGTCGACTCGACGGTCCGCAGGTGGTTCGCCCGCGCGATGACGGTGTTAGTTGTTTTGTCGAGGTCGAGGTCGGTGAAAGATCCTCGAATTAAGCCTTCTCATTGGCCTCTTGCATACAGGTCGGATGTCGTCCTATTACAGCCATTCAATATAATGAGCTCTTTTGGTGGCAATGCGTTCTGGCAGTCGCCATTATATTAGCTAGCACACGTCAAATCAAAGAAAATTTTGTGATTTCAGTCTTTTGCCTATTTTTTTCCATATGTTTTGAGGTAGTTGGATAATCATATGGGCAATTGTTCTTTCTCCACTATAATTTGGTTTCGTTGTTCTGAAAACTGATTAATAGCTGAGTATAGCGTTGTTCTCTGCAATGATTTGTGAGGTTAGTAGATTAAGAAGTTAGTGGTCACCCTTCGCTTATGAGTTGACTGATAGCACAGTTGTCGTCAAGCGATGGGGAGCCTGGTTGTCTATGAGCAGGATTCAAACATGTTACATCTTCCCATCTTACCTCTTAAGTTTTTTACCTCATTTTGCATCATTTTCAGACAAAGATCGGAGCCCCTCAAACTTCCAGCGTGATCCTGAGTCTTCGATCTCCACACTAGACCCGGAAGAAATACATTTTCCTCATGGCAGAAAAACTTTGGTCGGGGACATTTTGAGGAAGCCAAGCGTACTTGAAGAAACATCGTTTAATACAGGTTTGAATCAGGAGCAATTTTTATTTGGGATTGGGGCCATAGGCTCACTACTTTTTTGCAGATCACTTGTCTCCAAAAGAAGATGTGACTAGGGCTTACTGCCAACGGCTATCGCAGTTAAAATCTGAACTGGGACTAGACAAGATGGATTCCGAGGAAACGAAAGCGCCAACATCTCTACAGTGTTCGAAATCTGTGGACGCGGTTAGACCAGTGTACTTTTACGGTGAACAAGAAACCAGTGATGGAGCGATGTCAGGAGCAGAGCAAAAAACCTTTGATCATGATGCGATGATTGATGTGGCATTTAGTGAAGTTCTAGATGGCGAGAAGAGTGATCAGATAAGTCTTGGTGATTCGTCGTTATCTCAAACCCTTCAGGAACCTGAAGTAAGAGACGAGTGTTCACGTACCAAAAGAAGTCGGAACCTAACTCAGGAACCTGAGCTTGATGACGGTAGTAGGAGACCAACTGTTCACGTCTTAGAAGGGACTGGGGTGAAAGAATACGTTACGAAATTACTCGAGCATTCATTGGATGATGCTGTTTCTTCGGCTTCAACAAGTTTGAAAAAAAAATTAGAAAGCAAAGATGATTGTTACCTTTTGACAGACACTTCTTTCGACAGGAAACATCGGAAGCAATGGCCTCTGAGCGATGAGGAGCAGGAGGAGGGAAACGAGCACGAAGAGGATCCAATTTTAAGAGAAATTTTTACTTCTAACATCAATAATCAACAGTTAATGGAGTCGGTTATCTCATATCCACTTTCAGTAGCTCCATCTGATTTGACCCCACCTGCCGTTGTGACATCAGGACTAAACAAATTAAAAGAAGAGTCTGATGGTTCCTTTCATTCTCATTCTCATGCTCATCGGAATACTAGCGGCGATGTCACTTACGTATCTAATGCTAGTATGGTGATGAATGACACGCATTCGTCGTCCGATGCTGAATTTGACGAGGACCATATTATGAAGTTGGTCTTCTCGCAGCCAATAGAGATTTGTAAACTAGAGCCACGGAACCCCACGAATTCTTCACAGAGTCGTGAGCCGGTGTCAGCAGCCGAAGAAGCTAGTCAAACACCCGACAGTTCGGTCCATTGCCAGGTATTCGTTAATATAAAATCAATATTCTTTGCTAAACTAAGATGGCTGTCTCGCAAAGATATAATATAATCAATACTTAATTCATTGTTGCCAGCTATAATTTTTCACGGCTGACCGTGATGTGAAATACAACCACATTCATGCCGAGATAATCGCAAAACGTGGACCCCGGGCCAGGTCGAACCACCATTACTCTTTCCAGAGGCTCACACACACTACACCAGTGACGCCCTTACTCTGCGTTTCTCTCAGCTAGTCTCCTATCTACCATTGTCATCGGCAATCACCCATCAACTGGATTGATCTGGGGAGCACAAATCCGCATTGAACCAAGTTAAGCTGAGACTATAGTCGAAATCACAGTGCTAAACTTTTATAATCAATAGTATTATGACATGTACCTGTTCAGTTATAGTAACTCGAGTGGGGACCAATAAATTCTATTTGTCGCCTTTGCAGACAGAACAGTTCGACGGGTGTCGAATACTCGAAGAACACCACACGTTTTGTGTTATAATGTTTTTTGTCTTTTTGACGAGAAGGTAGCCACATTTGATACGCTTTACTTGTCGATGTTACTACAAAACTTTCATTGTTTTTCGTGCTTCTACGTGGAAATCTCGACTCCTTTCTTGGCGTAGTGACCCTAGTGGAGAAGTAAACTCCTTAACGCGTAATACTCGAAGGAGTTCAATACTCAGAACATCTCCTCAGTCAGGAACTGGTTGTCAGCCATGGAGGTAGTAGTATACGAACTACTTTATTTAAATCGAGACAAAACGGCAGGAACTTCGAAATGAGGAAAAATAATAGGGAATCGTTAGGCGAGGGCAGTGACCAACATACTCCTGTTATCTTGGATGGTGACTTCCTTGCCTTGTCTTACCTCCTTTCTTTTTCTTAAAAAACTGAAGCCTATCTAGGAGTGGAGAAAATTTTAAACAGTGCTAATATAATCGACTACCATGGAAAAGAATGGTAGTGAATAAAAATTGACTACGTTGTTTAAAAATTATGTTGTTTACAACTGGGATTCGATACCAGCACAATTGAGCGCGTCATCATTGGTGGTGGCCTCTTAGCAGTTTCTATTAATCTTTCACTGAATCTTTCACAGAAATCGCTCTTTGTTTTGCTCTCATAGAGCTCACCTTTTCGCCACACATGACTATTACATCGTTTGTTGAACTTTTCCACACCTAGCATAATGACTCTCTTGAAAATTTTCAAAGCTTTGATACATAACATATCTAAAAAATCAGGTTGTTTAATTCAAAAACTGAAAGCGAAACCTGGAAACCACAAGTGTGGATGATTCGACTCAGTTGCAAACATACGACCTATTAATGCACATAGACCTGTAAGCATCGTGAAGAGCGAAAACTTCTGACTAAAACCTTCATTGATTTTATTCCTGTGATAAGGGACGTGACTAGTCACGTGCAGCGGTATTCAACTCTACAGTGATTCTTTATCTGCGTGTATTTTGAAACTGGGGTACCTTTTATTCTTTCTCTGACAAGCTTACACGAGGTTAATAAACGGTTTTATTCGGCTAACATTTCGACGTCTTCGTCTTCATCAGAGCCGATGATCCGAGTTGATAATCCACCGTTCTTTTTCTTCTCAATGTGGCGTTATGATCTTCGTATTGAGTTGTGTCTTCCTTAGCGGACCATCTCTCGAATGACATACTAAGTGATGCCCTTTTATGCAGGATGCTGTTGGCTGATAGTAGTGATTGTCCGGTGATAGTTACTTGTTTTTCGCGGACAACCCATCCTGCAGAAGTCGGTGTCATTGTCAGCTTGCAACGAGCAATAACAACATTTCAAAGCTAACTTCTCTTTAGCCTCGGTATTACTAATCAACATATATTCCTGCTTTGAAGAGACACGAGGTTAAAATGCTGTGACTTTTGTTTTATAAGTAACCTAAATTCAAACAAATTATCGATGATTAGCGCATTAAAATAACTCATAGATAAACATATACCTTGTAGATAAGCACCTTGCTGGATAAACATATGTTTTACAATATATGAATAATCTATGCACCAATACTCTCGAAATTTGTCTTAAGACTGACAGCAGATCTTGCTCACCAATGGATCATGGCCACATAAAAACGGACGACGAGATGTTGGAGATCGAAGTGTTACATAATCACTTTAACATAAGAGGCAGCTATTCTATGCTCGTCAGTAAGGTTAGCGACTTAAACTTCATAGAAACCTGTTCCATTTTCTGCCATGGAATCAATGTATTGTTTAAGAGAATTAAAACGTTCGGCCAGTAGTGATGATTCTATAGAGATAAGTATCTGTTCAGGAAGATGAACCACTGGGAAGACTACTGGAAGATTTACGTTCCAGAGGAACGAGTTCTTTGGACTTCTCAGTTTCGCCAAAGTTACGTCGGCTACTATTTCAATGCATCCAGGAGAAAGCTTATCCCAAAACAAAAGGTTTCTTTGCTATTGTTCTTAAATTTAGTTTTACTGAGAGTTCAATCAATTTTCACAGAAAATCTCATCGATCAAGAATACACAAACTCGTGGCTAATCAGTGTTCATAAAACTGAAGAAAATCAAACCACTTGAATTTTAAAGTTCATCAAGCACCGTGGCTACTTTTTTAGCAAAACATTAGGGGGTATTTTATCCAGGTTAGGGATAATTTAAATCTTTCATGATCGCGGCCATTTTCGTGTGTTGGGCTCGTCTGAATGCGTGTCATTAGAGAGCAATCGGAAAGCGCGTTGATACCTCGATATGCGGTCCGATAGCCCACACAGGAAGGACGACGCGTTTTTTCTTGAGAGTGTCCTCCTATCATTTCTTTCATTTCTGTTATCATTATCGTTTTCTCATAGTTCTTCAATATTTCTGCAACTCTACATATCTGCTGTGTTCTTCTCTCTCTCTATGTGTGTGTGCGCGTGTGTGTGTGTGTGTGTGTGTGTGTGTGTGTGTGTGTGNGTGTGTGTGTGTGTGTGTGTGTGTGTGTGTGTGTGTGTGTGTGTGGGTGTGTCTGCATGTCTGCATGTGTGTGTGTGTGCGTGTGTGTGTGTGTGTGTGCGTGTGTGTGTGTGTGTGTGCTCGCCTGTTCCTAGACACTTCATGTGTGTAGCGGAAAAAAATTCGTCCATTATCTAACGGCGATGTTATAAGCTTTTTGCAGGTTTTATGTGATAATTCAACTAATTTATATCTCCGTTTTATGTTTCTATATGACCACTGATTCCACTCCACTGTCCAAAACGCTTTCTTGCAAGTATTGCTGAGGATACTTATCCGTCGATCAGCCCCACTATAAAATTTGCGTTGGATAAGCTATCGATTGGCTACAAAGGGTCATGATGGCGTTATCTAATCAAAACGTTATTTATATACATGAGAATAGAAAAAACCTGTTCTGCTCAGCCATGTGCACTAAATAGTTGTTGGAATCCAAAGGGTTCTTTAACAGGGTTTCATTCCTCAAGACCTTTTTCTTGGGGTTTCTTCATTCTTTGCTGAAATTGCAGAGGTTTACGTGTCGTACGTTGAAACACTTACTTTAAAATGATACTCAGCATGCTGGACAAACTAACTTGCTAAAGTTCAGAAGCAACAAGAACCAATAGGACTTTTTCGTATACGAGGAGGGTTAGACCATCTGTTTGGATGAGTTCTCGAACGTTCTCTTAAGATCATCAATTTTTGTGTTTAAGATTTCCTTCAGAGAAAAAGATGAAAAAGAAATGGGAATTCACAGCGAAATTTTCCATTTTTGTTCAGATTTGTTGTCTTCACGAGCGAGAAATCTGCTCACCGATGAAGACGTTGCCGACATGGTCTACTCAGCGATGAACAGCAATCGGTTCAACGAGGAAATAAATCCACAGGTTCGCCTGCGTAGATGTTTCTGTGTGGAATGACAGAAATGTGAATACAACTATATCACGAAATTATAGCGCACGTATTGATCGACAACACTGTCACATCCATATCCTCAAAATTATTTGTGATAAGTTCAATCTTAAATCTCTGTGCAATAGTGACATTCGACAGTCTGCGCTGATCAATCTCTTAATAATTCCCCATCGAAGTGACGACAAATTTGGTTTGTCCGAAGCTCGTAGTTTGACCAAGGACCCTTTGTATTGTAGTATACCTCTAGAGAATGCGCTGCAGGCGCCGCTTCTTTATAAAAGTGACAAACATTTAGTGGGTTGGTTACAAAGCGGGAAGAAAACGTTTTGAATCATAAACGAGTTGTTAAGCTCAACTGACTAGATTACAATTTAGAAGCGAATTTTCGAAGCAGCCAACGCTTATGTGGCTTTGTTCAGGGGAACATCAACTTCTGCACGGCCGAAAACAATTTGTGTGCAGACGAGGTGATGTCGCGTCTGCGACGGCACGGCTTCTCCCCGACTGAAGCGTCTTTGGTTCATTATCCACCTGCAGGCGGACATCTGACGTAAGCACAAAAACCGCTTTCAGTGAGACTCAGAGCGAATTCAATAGCTGCAAAATCTCGGCTATAAATAAAAACCTATGTAAACATGATTTAGGTCGTTACTCAGGAATTTTCTTTAAACGTGATTGGTTTTGTGATGAAATACAACTCATCTATTAAGAATACTTATATATTCACACACCCTTAGAAAAACGAAAGTTTTCTTAATTCGAAAAAAATTCAAATAGTTGTTAATGTTTTGTAATGTCTAGCATTTTAGAAGTTGAAAACACGACAACCTTAAGAAGGGAACCTGATTCTATCGTACAAACATTATGTATACTTACCTACTTACTTGCTTGAGATCGACCCGTATTTACGAGTTGTACGCATCCCAGCTCATTTCCCATCCGTTTCTTTGCCTCGTAATCGGCGTTCATGGCCGTTGTTTAATTTGAGAATGTGATTCTCACACCGTAATCTGTAAAACAATTGCAGCTGGAAATACAAGTGATTGCGCTCAGTTACGAACACGTCCACCATCGTGGAGGTGATCGTCTAAGGAAATGCCTTCCATCCTCATGCATTCCACCTTGCAGTGTTTTCGTCCATTATCTGTTTTTCTAGTTATATGACCGGGCCATCTATGTTTCGCGATCGATACCTGTTCTCCTGGATCTCGAAAATGGAATAGGCTTCCAAGATCCTAGCTTCGCATTACAAGATTTTGTGTCCACCGGTTATATTTCAGAAGTCCTCCTTCCAGCGCTCTGTAAGTAGTGCGCAGCACTCTTGACGTTGTTGAAATATCAGCCCTCGTCTCTGCTGCATAACAGAGCGCTGGGAGGACTGTAGAATTGAAAGGGTGAGTGCTGATTTTCAGATTTTCCAGTTGGTTGGTGCTCTCTTTAAGAGGCCTGAGTGAGTCTCTGTTCCTCTTTTGTCTATTTTGTCCTATATGCTGTTCTCCATGTTTATTGAACACCCAAAGCATAAGTGCGGGGTGGTCTCTGTCATCAGAGAACCATCCAGTTTTATCTGATCACTTTCTTACCACGGTTCTTCATAAACTGGATCTTATTCCGATTTTTTCATAGTTAGATACTTTTTTCCGCTCCGTTTAGTTTGCTGAGCACCGTCTTTACTTCATTGGTGCTCTTTTAAAAGATGACGATATCGTCGGCGAAACGAGAATTTGATAGAAATTTCCCATAAATACGTATGCCTTTCTCATCCCAATCGCGTGACTTCATTGTCCAATGCATTGCAGCTGTAAACAACATTGGCGACATGGTGTCACCTTGTCGAGCCTCTTTTCCTATGGGTATAGTAAGAGGTTGATGGAAAAGCTGAATTTTCTTAGTGCACTTCCGATAACATTCAGATAGAGTTATTATCTAGGGCGGGTCCACTCTTTGGTCGACGAAAACGGATAGGATTGCATTCGTTTCGACAATGTCAAAGACTTTTTCGTAGTCCCAAAATTCAAGACTAAGGGCAGATGGTATTCCCGAGAAACTCCAGTGACGCTGGGAAGGTTTGAATTCGGTTCATACAGCATAATGCCGGTCGAAACCCTTCTTGCTCAACTAATGGCGCTTCATCCAATACCTTTGATATGCGCAACAGAATAATCTTCGTGAACAGCTTGGAAGGTACATTCAACAAGCACATTGGATGCTAGTTAAGAAGATCCCTTCGCTCACTCTTCTTGGGCAGGATGACCATACGTGACGTCGTCGGCTTCTCTGGAATGTTTTCGTTTTGGAGAAAGAATCACATCTGAGTTGTGAGATGTACATGCAATTTGTGGTTTACAACTCTATGAAAGTCAGCTGTGATATTATGGGGGTCCTAGAGCTCTGCCTTTTCCTATGCTTTCTATCGCAGCACGAACCTCAGAAGAAAGAACTCCAGATAGTGTTTTTTTAGAGGGGATTTTATGGTCCGATGTGAGAATATTGAAAGTGAAATGGTTTGTGTAAAGCTTTTCTGTTGCCAATTTCGCATCACTGCAGGAAGCTTCAGTGATCCTATGCTCTTTCTGTCAGGGCTGCTACCGTAATAGTACTAGCACAAGACCCGAAGGCATTTCTTAAGGCTGGTTTTTTTTGTTCTTCTGCGTGCATCTTGTAGATCTGCCTACAAACGTCGTCTGCTGCTGGTGTTTATTACCAGCCATGTTAAGCATGTTGCAGTATGATAGTGCTCTGGTCTCCTTCTCATTTCGAATAAGTGCTTAGTAGTAATGGAGATGCGATTCGATCGTCTTGCTTATGGAACTGAAGCAAATTTGACACTGCATTTAAGTCCTTTGAGGAGCAGCAGCTCATAGTCTTCGGTCAGATCATCTTCAAACTGCCAGTCACGTCTAGACACGAATTTATTTCTTTTTTTTCCACTACGTCAATTCTTTTTCAGATTACGGCTGAATAGAATCAACGCGCGAAGAACGCGGTGATCGGACCCGCTACAAAATGGTGGGACTACCGATATGTTAAGTAGGCACCATCTTCTGCTTGTCAGAATATGGTCAATCTTTGCTTGAGTCGTACCGTTCATAGTCCCGTGTTCATCGGCGGCTTTCCTCCGCAATAACAAGTTTCTGTGGAAGGAGCGAGCTGCAGACATGACTCCTGGAAGACGGTTCTCGCTTTCATTTCTATCTATTAATCCAAATTTTCCGATCCAGTATCCACTCTCCTTGGCCTTTGCTACTCTGGCGCTGACGCCTCCGGGAACCAATCTATAATACGCCTAATCACTACGGAATTAGTTGCTCCAATACGGCGGGGACGTGAAGAGAGAGGACGGCCATGCTGGGGTAGAGAATCTCATACGAGTCAATGAGATAGACAATGGCCGGGTGGAGAGGAAAACCTACGCAATCGACATTTCGTGACGGAAACTTCTCTCTCCGGATGACAAGGATCTTGTTGCTTAGTTCGCATATGTCAGTCTTCCCGGTTTTTGTTTCTTGTAAGACGATCAAATGGAATTTGATACGATCTACGACATCAAAAATTGCGTGAAGATCGGCGTCTGAGGAGATTGTCCTGGTATTACATGTACGTAGTGAGAAACAATTTCCATGGTTTATTGTGTTTGTGTTTTTCAGATCCGATTCCGGTGATGTCTGATGCAACAAGAGAATTTATGGCCCTTCACCAATTGCCTTATTTCCTGCTGTCGTAGGCGGGAGCATCCAATGTACCGGTTATTAAGGACGGCCTATTGCTGCTTGGGCTATATGATTTTCCGTGAATCCTTGACTTAACATTACAAGGAGGTTTCCAGGCCTTCACAGCGATATGAATCAGGAATTACCTTTTCGACAACGATTTCTCCATTCGATTCTCGTACTGGTTGACTCGGACACGATATTAAAGCCGAAACCAAGAATGAAACTATGAATAGTAAAGGGACCGACCACTCAAAGACAATGTAGAAGCCGAACTCCAAAATTATGCACCACTTTTGTAAAATGTTATCTTAGGCCTAAACTTGCTTAGTTTAGGTTTTCAAAAACGACTAGAAAATTAAAAAACATACCCGAATTTTCAAACTTTTTCGCAGAAGTGTGGTAGCAGCGAACACTTTCGAAAAAAAATCGCTCGTTCAGTGCTTTGGTTCCAAAGTGCCAACCTCAGCGGGGAAAAGGATTTTGCTACTCCACAGAGTTTTTCAGTGTGATAGCATAATAAAACCCCTCTCTTTCCTGGGAAAATTTTCTTTATTCTAATTATTTTTGCTCGATATAATGATTCCACGTTATTCTGATACATGTTGATTTGACATAGCTGGACTGAATTACCTCTTCCCACCTTCGCATTGGGATCTGTTCAAAAATGTGTTGCAAAGGTATTCAACTTTGCGTCCAGAGTTTAAAATGATGCTGCGATGAATTTTTTTGCGTATAGAGGCGTGGAACGAGGAGAAGATAATGCAGTGATTAGAGATGCTGTCCATCAGAAGGCAAGGTGCTGGTTCGATCGCCTCCTCAACGCACTAACCCAACCCAAATGGGAAAATTATGACTCGGCTATCACGGAGATTGCAAGGGTAGTCGATTGATCAGTATTCTATGCTATTCATAAAGAAGGCGAAATCTTTAAGCAGCAGCCGAAACAGCACGAAATGGCGGAGGACCATTGTAGACGATGATTGCGAAGAAAATGAATTCAATGCAGGGAGTGCTGGAATCTGCAGAGTTAAGGAGATGATGGGTCATGTAATTGCAAAGATAGATGCTATAATGAACGAGTATATGCAATAGTTGAGTAGGGCGATAGGCTCTTCAACAAATGTACTATCCAGAAGATATTCATTGATCGTATTACATTATATGTCGTTCTTTTGGATATCTTATGAGCAATTTACAGTACCAAGCGTGTGATGTTAGAGTATCTGTCTGAATTCATGTCGGCCAAGGTAGAGGAGAATGAACTGGTGATTCTACCGTCGACCATCTCCGCCTACGATATGCTGTGTCATTGTATGTGTGAAGAAGACGGTGAGATTTTGTTCTCTATCACTTTTATGTCTATTATTTGTTTATTTGATTATTATACGAAACAGTTTCTAGCACATATACTCATTATTAATGTTGGCTGCTACTACTCCTGTCAATATGTATTTTTCATTGGTGAGCTATAAAGTAAAAGACTTCATCTTGATAACATTTCGGCGCCTTGGTCTTCTTCAGAGCCGGGTTGATCCGAGTCGATTGCCCACAGTCCACTCTTCATGGGTCTTCGTCGTCGTTCGAGTCGAATCTTTTTGAGTGGTGTACAACTCGAGCAAAGCAACTTCACTCGGTGGTGTGCCTTTGTACAGGACGATTGTTAAAGCTGACTGTCCGTTAATGGTTATTTGTTTCTCTCGAGGCAATCCCTCCTGAAGCAATGGGCATCATTATCAAATAGGAGAGAGCGTAATATTTCAAAAAGCGACTTTCGTTTAACGTCGGTACGATAAATGGACACGTATTTGTTCACTGGTAAAGTAACTACAGGTTGGTAAAAGAGATTCACTCGAAAAGATTTGAATCAAAAGTCTGCGAAATCCCACAACACGAAGACGAGCGACAGGAGTAATCGACTCGGTTCAATCCGGCTATGAGCAAGGCGCAGGTGCCGAAACTTTAGCCGAACAAAAGCTTTTTTATTAATCTTGTGTTAGTTTTTAAGCGAAAGGATACATGTTGATTAGTCATACCAAAGTTCAAGGAAAGTCGGTTTTTGAAATATTGATATGCTATTCTCTATTAAGGTTGATTACTACGTATTATTTGTACGCACGATACAGCTCAGAAAAAGTGCTTATTATCTCATGTGAAATGTTGACTGTGGTTGCTGCTGGAATTTTCAGAAACTCTAAGCTTGCAGTCATGATTCACATTTTTATTATGGTCATTGCCGATATTAAAGAATAAAATGGTGAAGAATTGGGCGTTGATCAATCCATCAAGGAAGCGCTATACATTAGACTTCATCAACCATCCCAAAGCTTGCATATGTTCCCTATATGACTTGAAGAGCTTATCTACTTATAGAGTTGGCGTTTTTATCCTTTTAGAACCCAGACTGTCAATGTGCTGACTCAGCGGAATTAAGAGAATAGCTTGCTCGGAAACCGGAAATGGACCAAGGATGTGCTTGCAGCAGAGCATTTCCAACCATTGGCAAGTGCCCCAAGTATTAGTAAACCAGTGAAAATCTGAGGATTTATTCGAGATAGGATGTCATATAATTTGCTATTATCCTCGCATTTGGATCCAGCCTTTAGCTAAACCGCTCTAAAGGAATATCTAGTTGACATAAAAAACAAGCTCGGTAGGTGAAACTTTCCTGAATAGACTGAAAATTTCAGGGCACGAAAAGAGCGTCAGTCGGTAGATCTTAGTTCTTGTTCACACTTGTTCAACATAATGATTCTTTTTTTTCATATTTGGGAATTATGCTGCTATAGGTTGTAACCCCTCATTCAGGGTTATGAGCATGTGGAAAGGTTTGCTGAAGAAAATCGAATTTTACTGTTTATTGAGAAATTAATCAGCACGTAATCCGCTCATATAGCTTTTGACTAAAAATTTCCAAGAATTCACCTCAAAGTTTTATCTCTAAATAAAGAGAAGGAGAAAAACCATGTTGTGACAGGAGCCGAAAAGTCGTTTGGTGTAGCGTTTTTGAAACTGACATTTCAAAAATTTGTCCTTTTCAGACATAGTGCTGACGGGCGCCGCGACATATGCAGCCTCTGTGAGGAATGTTGGAGCTCGGGCCCATTGTCGAATACGAACGGTTGAGGTGGGTAAAATTCGTTGTTCACAGGAAGTGCGCTACCGCACACTCAAACCTTCCTCAAAATAATTCAGTTGAATGTGACCGACACTTCGAAACTTAACTGAAATTACTGTAGAAGTTTATTTGTATGCAAACCATGAAATGGTCTGCGCTGAGGTCGTCAATAAGTAAGATGTTAGGACTGAAATTCTATGTTCCCACAAAAAAAGAAGCTCAAAACGAGAAATTGTTAAATGCTATATGAGGGCATTTTACCACTTATCGAAAGCAACTTGATGACATAAGCCCTATGGTATATTTTCCCTCCAATGATTTGACAACTCATTATGGCTGCGCTATGAGATGTCAAGGCACGATGTGGCAGCAAAAAACAACGGCCGATTAAGAACGACAATTTCAAACGTCATTATAAGCAAGCTCGAACAGAACTTTGCTAAACAAAATGAGAACTTTTAAGATCCTCACATTTTTGCTTGCAACTTACAACTTTATTTGCTCTGATGGCTTAAAATTTCAATAGAAAACATCTTTAGCACCGGTTTTGAGGATTTTTCTTCGAAGTGATTGCCGAGGTGCTTAGAAGAAGGTCATTTGATAGCACGAGATCAGATCAGCGTGCCAAATAGCGTTTAGTAGACCAACTCGGTGAAGTTTTGCAGCGTTAATTGTGTACTGTGTTGTCGACTGCTATCGTGCTAGAATATCGTTTCTATAAAATAGAACGTAATATAGAATAAAAATGAAATTTCTTTCTAGAGCAGGGCTAGGCATGTGTACAAGATTTTTGAAGCATTTCATCGAGAATATGATCAGACGTATCCCTCTTGTGTTTTTTCGATAAAATTTGAAAACATTCGGTGAACTAATCCGGATACACGTCACTAAAATGTCAGAAAATTAAGCTTTCGAAAATAACGGATCATTTCTTGAGCAAAATAGGAATGGAATATACTTCTTAGCACGATATTCCGCCTTTGCTTCCATTTCGCTTGGCGCCACAACTATGGAACTTTCTCCTCTTTTCAATAAGAATTCGAACTTAGGTTCATTTCAAGCAGGACCACTCTTCTGCAAGACTTTGGGTCTATGTGGTCAAGATTTTACCTACTTTAACTTGACTTAACACTGTCGTGCTGATAGGGAAAAATTATACGCTTTGAAAGAGACCTGTTATGAATTACGTGGTAATATCAGCGATGCAGCAATAAGTGATACGTCGACCTTTCGATGATATCAACGTCGATGTGATGACATTTAAATTATTCAGCTGTTTTAGATGGATATGGTCTCCCCAAAACTCGAGCTTTCGAACTTCCAGAAGGCAATGGATGAACATCATTCTACGGTTCTTTTTTTGTCAATTTGAAATGTGGATTAGCCTTGAACAACGAGTACTCAATTCTATCACTAAACTCGCAAGAATTAATTTTGATTGAAAAGGTTAATGTCAATGTAGATTTAGGGGGAAATCGTACGAGCAGTGCTCATCATCAATCCACATAACCCGCTCGGAGCAGTTTTTCCACCTGAGGAAGTTATTCAATTGTGCAATTGGGCGACAAGGTTTACAACGCACAGTTTAACTTTATGGCACTTGTTTACCATGATTTCATAGGAACCAGCATCCATCCACTGCAAAAATACTGTTTCTGACAAAGAAACTCAAGGACAGTCTTATTTGAGACGTCTTTTCTTTAAAAAATCTTTCAGAAATAATCTTGCTGTTTTAATAGACGAGTCATTCTCGTCATGCGTTTTTGGTTTATCGTCGTTCAAGAGTTTTTTATCTTATCGACATCAACTAGAGCAGCCGAAATATGTAGCGTATATGTGGAGTTTGAGCAAGGTAAGTGTTTTTGCTGAGAACTTTGTGTACTTGTTAGCTTAAGCTCACCTTAAAAATTCTTGTGTAACATCCGACAAAGGCAGAAAACACAAATATACGCTATTAGGGGATGTTTGAAATATATTCATTATTCGCTTTGATTTTCAATGTCACCATAATTTTTTTTTCAAGGATTTTGGTATTCCTGGTCTGAAAATTTCTGTCGTGCAGACTTCGTCATCGGAGCTTATGATGTCGCTCTCACGCCTGGAGCTCATTCATCCGGTTTCTGCGTTGGCTCACGATGCTGCCACAGTCCTTCTTTCTGATCATGGTAGTTCGGAATTTCACTTATCAACTTATCACCTAGTTCTTAAACGAATTTAGCAAAAAAAAGGCTTTCATCTTTCTCAACGCAAATTCGTTTGGCGTGCTTTAATGTTTTTGAAGCGCAGATGATCTAAATGACTGTCTTATACGCAATGGCTGTATGAAGAAACTGTTGGCACGATAGACAAGCTTTTCATAGAAAGCGAATAATATTGTTTAATTGAGCTATCGATACTGTTGAAATCCGGGGTACATCAGCAGAAAACACTAACGGAGAGTTTTATCGTTGGAATTCGTATTTCTGCTTCAATACCTTTGTTTTTAGATTGGTTACGAAGGTTCCATGCGCTTAAATTGGCTAAAATGTCTGCTCACTACGAATTTGTGGCCAAACATCTTCGCGAGATCGGCTTAAATTTTATACCCACAGTTGCTGGTTGTTTTATCATGGTCGATTTCAGAAAGGTTATTTTCCAGCTGTATTTCTTCTGAAGTTCACTCATGTTTGTCTTTTTTTTCTAAAAGGCTATTTTATCAATGCTGAATTTGGACTTGCAGCACCTCCGCTCGCAAACCTTCGCCAGCGAGTTGTCATTGTTTCATTCGTTATGTGACCGAGGAGTGATGTTGACCCCAGGGCAGCACGTGCTTGCTCACGAGCCTGGATGGATGCGGCTCGTGTTCACTTGCAACAAAAGCGAACTTGTCGAAGGTGCTCCGATAAAAATTTTTGCCTGAAAAGCTGCTTTGTTCTAGGAAAAGAAGCAGGTCCATGTACTATTTTTTCAATGGTTACATAAATGATAACGGCAGTTGCATATCGGGAAATTGTGGAGCTCTAATGAAAAAATATAGGAACAGACGACCGATTCCTGAAGTGCTTGCATATCTTTTTTACCTTGAAGAAGTTCTAGAATCACTTTCAACTACTGACCGTATCTCCGAAACCGAATTTTCACAGTTAAGCAAATAAAGTTTTCTTTATCGTTTCACGTGAGTGAGACAGTTACTTATATAAAGCAGAGCTAAAATTGTACTCAATCTTCAATTCAGAAGTGGTACGGCAAAGGTATGGTGAAGTGGTGTGGCTGGAGCATTGGTGATGGTGTACTTGGATACTTACTCCTCCTACGGCCCGTCCTCACCGGCTTTGCGAGCCTCAGCGCAATCTCCATTTATCGAAGCCTTGCTGATTTAGCTATTGTGTGTCCCTGGAGTCTCGAGGTCGGCCTAGCCAAAGTCTGCCCCAGGTAATCGAAGTCCTTGTGGATCAGAGGGTGGTTTGCCACCATGCGAATAGTTCCATACCGGTAACGTGGTCGATACTGGTATTGGTTTCCTCTTAGCTAGGCTTCCTGATGAAACAGCCGGACTTCCTTCTCAGTTTAGGAGACCCTGGGAGTGGGGGTGGGGAGGGAAGAGGAGGGGGCGATGAATCACCGCGCTGTACATCGCAGCCCTGCACGCAGGAATCCCAGATATGATGAGGCGGCAAACCGTTGGGAGATGGTGATGGTTTACAAAGAAGAAAGAAAGGGATTACAGAAAAGGTCATATTACTTTAATATGGCCACTAAGGATTTGTTATTTGAATTTCAATGTAATTTGTCTTACAAAAAGTACTTTTTCTGCTGGTAATGGAAAGGTGTCCATTAATTCATGTATTCAAACTTAGAATACAAACAGCATGCAAAGTGTTTCAGGAATAAATCGATTGCGTGCCTTCTTCAGCTTCCCACCTGCACAGGATACTATTGAGTACTGAAGTCGTTGTGGAGTTGTTCATTTTTGTATTTGCGAAGATATTCTAGTCGAATATGTAAAGTTAGAATGGCGTCTAACTTATTTAAATTTCATTATTCATTGCTTTCAAATGAATGAGCCTTTATTTCAAGGATTTTGTATGATGATTCGTTGTCGGTAGTTTTTATTCTTATGTTTCATAAAGTCGATTACTTTTATTAAAGACTTTACCATTGCCTTGTCTTCCCTCCTAATTCTCCCCGACAGATTTTGTGCAGCCAAACATTCAAATTTTTGTTGCAAACCGACGTTCAGTAAATCTTGGTAACAATATTCTATAATTTTCTGCATGATTGAGCTGGCGCGGTATTTTTGTAGAAACCTTTATTCGCCCAGCGTTTCGGCGCCTTACCCTTCTTCGGAGCCACGTTGATCCAAGTCGATGGTCCACAGCTGATCGCTGTCGACATGTGGGTGTTCGGTGTCACATCGAATCTTATAAGCCTCAAGTTTCATAGCAACCTCGTGTCAGCTTAGTAACACATAAAATTTTTGATCCTTGTTACCGAGGTTTAATGGAAGTCATTTTTTAAGATATTGCCACACTAGGTCCCAGCAAATAAAGTGCCGAATGCGGCAGGTTGCATTGCCCACCAAATTCGGACACCCTACTGGATGGTGAAAAACGACCGACATCCGTGCTTTACAAAAAGGCACTGCCGAGTGATGCTGCTCGTTTAGGAGGTACTCTTGCCATTGGATTTGACTCGATGCGACAACGAACAACCATATGTCGACAATGGCCAGCTGCCGACTATGGTCTGGGATCAACGCGGCTATGAAGAATGCAAAAGCACCAAGACGTTAGTCTAATAAAAGTTTTATGCGAATCTCATTTCGGCCCAGTCATGTAGAAAATCATACAAATTTAATTCTTGCATTTTTCTCACAAAACCCTATTAGAAAGTAAAAGTATATGACGGTTTATGTGGTTGTTTCACCCTAGCTATTGTTTTAAAGGTTTAAGAGCCTTTGTCCTACAACATTTTTTTCCACACTATGGAAAGTATTACCAGCACGGTAGGAAGACCACGCTTTTAAATATAGCTATATATATATATAACATATAAGAAAATGGCTTCTAAATACGTACAACGTTCTCACAGTTTCAAAGTTTGCGTGCGATTCGTTCCAGCGAGTGAGCACATTTATGGGGAGGTCGCACAAAGAGAAGCTGAAAATTATTTACTCTTCTTGGCTCACTTACAGCCGTTATACCAGATATTGTGAGGAAATACAGTTTTCCTTCGAATAGAACATTTTAAAGCTGCCCTATTCATATTCATGCGTCATTTTGTTTCATAACATGGTAAGCATCGTTTCTTGAGGCGGTTCTGCATGTATACAATTCCAAAAGTTATTCGGCTGTAGAAAATAGCGTTGCACCACATCCCACTGAGCCTGGACTGTGCTAAATGTGAAAAATATGACGAAGACAGAACATCACTGCCGAACCCGCCATAGTGATCACTTTGGATGTACATCAGAATACCTGTCACAGATGGTGGGTGCGACAGTCTAGAATGTTGCGAGACTGATGTAGCAACCAGCTCGAGGTGTCCATGACGGTTACGGATTACTAGGGCGCGCACAGTGACTACAACCATACTATCGAACAGTGAGAACCACGATTTTGTAGATGCGCAGGACAAAGATAGGGAATGCAAGACTGAATGGAGAGCTAGAGAATGTTCGTCATGCATCGTATCAAATCACAGGTGCGCTAATTTTGACAGTTAATCGGGTTTCAGAATGCGCGTTGGAGATGAGTGTGTCTCAGGTTCGACTAGCAACTGATCCACAGTGAGGTAGAGAGGTGGTGCATTGTGCATTTGCATCTTTTAGAAGACACACAAAAGCTCACTGTTCAAGGTCGTAACTCAATACCGACTTGTTTATCGCTGCTCAGTCGTAGTCGGCCTCTTATTTTTAAAGCTATCTCGAAACGCTTATTTTATTAACAGGAAATGCGATAAACTATCACGAAAAGGCCACAGATTCCAAGTTCATGGTGCATTAATTACACAGGCAACTAAAACTTTTAACGAAGGAAAGACAGAGCTTTGACCAATATTCGTATAGAGCAACCAGATTAGTAGGTAGGAGTCATTTCATAACCCATGGAAGTTCTAGAGAATTATATAAATGGATACTTGCGTACTTTGGTTTACTTAACAACGTCCAAATTGGATTTTATAGTGAAAACCAAGTGATTCAGAAGGTTAGAAATTGCTCTTTTTATGCTAGACCCGATATAAATAAAGACGATCCATTTAAGTACGTAGGACAACGGTGTTCTTGAGTGCCGGGCTACGATGTACAGCGGGGAGTTTCATTCATCCTAGCAGGATATTGCAGGGTGAGAACCAGTCTGGCGCTTCCTCCAGGAAGCCCCGCTAAGAGTAAACCATTACGGGGATTCACTACTGTCCTGATACAAAACTATTAGCTTGCTCAGAGACAAATGAGTGTTTTAAAATATTTATTGTTTTAATGAATTTTGCCAATAAAATATTATTTTTACTCTGCGATATTATATATCACTAGAAAGCTGATTTTATGCTCTTTCTAAAATAGTTCCGTACTTCGCCAAAAATTAAATACACTTTCAAAAAAGGATTTTCGTCATATTTTTTATGAGTTCAAACTCGGTCGTAGTGCAGCAAGCTTGAAACATTAGTGGAATTTGGAGTGAAGGAGTGCTCGTGATTCAACGGTGAGAACATGGTTCCGAAAATTCCGATTTGGTGATATAGACCTCGAAGATAAGAAAGGCCGTGGACGTCCTATTGAAGTTGACAACGTCGAATTGAAGACACAAGAGGAAACAAACACGCGAGCAACACGTGAGCTTCCAGAACAGCTTGACGAAAGCACGGAAACAATTTTCACTCACAATCTTAACTCTATTATTTACTGCCTTTTTTTTCTTTTTTTTCTTCTTAATGGCAGGTTATATTGCGAAATATAACTCGTATGAAATGCTGAGATATTTGCAAAACTCCGGACCACAGGTGTATGCAGTGGAGAACGAACACGCGTTGTTGTCCTTACCGGGGAGCAGCGCACTTCACCACTACACCATCCGGGTCCTTCGCTTTGCGTGTATCTCAGCTACTTGTATCCATCTTTTTTGGATCCGGATGGTGTAGTGGTGAAGTGCGCTGCTCCCCGGTAAGGACAACAGCGTGTGTTCGTTCTCCACTGCATACACCTGTGGTCCGGAGTTTTGCAAATATCTCAGCATTTCATACGAATTTTCACTCACTTGAATCGCACAGGAAAGTCAAAAAAAATTCACCTGTGGATGCCGCATGAATTAAACGATAATTTTTAAAAAAATCGTCGTTTTGAAGTGTCGTCTGCTGTTATTCTGCGCAGTAAAAACGACCCTTTTCTTGACCCAATTGTGACGTGCGATGAGAAGTGGATTCTGTACAACAATCGGTGATATTCAGCTCAATGACTGGATTGCGATCAGGCTTCACAGCACTTCCTCAAGCCAAAATTACACAAAAAAGGTTCTGATTACTGTTTGGTGGTCTGAAGCTGGACTGACTCATCACAGCTTTTTGAACCAGGGCGAAACGATTACGGCAGGGAAGAATTGCCAACAGATCAACGAAACGCGCCGTAGACTCCGCCAACAACGAACGGCATTAGTTAACACAAAAGGCCAATCCTACACGACAGCGGCCTGCCTCAGGTTTTGAAACCAGCGCTGCAGAAGTTGAACGAGTTCGGCTACGAAACTCTGCCTCATCCGCCATACTTGCCAGAGGTCTCGCCTACCTACTACCACTTTTTCAAGCACCTTGACAACTTCCTGCACGACAGTTGCTTTGCCACTCACAATGACGCAAAAATGCCCTCAACGAATTCATCGCTTCCATAATTCTAGAATTTTATCCAATTGTAATAAATAAACTTGTTTCTCGTTGGCAAAATTGTGTAAATTTAAATGGTTTTCACTTCGATTAATAAGGTTTTGTTTGTAGTAAGTTGTGACATTTTAAATAATTCGATTGAAAACGCCCATTTACTTTTCAGCTACATAATAGTAGCATGGTGGCAACTCTCTCTCTGATCCACAAGATTGGCGACTGCATGTGGTGGTGAATGGTGACAATCTAGGGCAGACTTTGGCTAGGCTGACCTCAGAACTCCAGTGAACCACAAATAGCTAAACCAGCAAAGCTCCGAAAAAATTGAAATTGTGTTAGGGCCCCGAAAACCACTGAGAACAGGCTATCCAAGCACGCAAGTGAGTAATACGAACATTGCACTCTAGAGTCTCCCAAGAATTATCAAACTCAGAGTTTCAATCAGACTATGGAGACCAGGATTCGTGTGGCACAGCACATATCATATTACACTCCAGCATAACTTTGCTACAGTTTGTGACGCAGTATGGTCTTACTGGAAAGAATTTTACAGACAGAAAATCTACTGGACAGCAACTGAGCATTGCATTATGACGATGCGGTTGATCACTCTAAGAGTATTCTTTAATGTCATAGAAACATGACATTGTGCTTGCAAAACAATAATTTTGAAGCCGCCCTATATAAAAGAGCGTCACAGGGTAAGCATGTCTAGATGCACCATAGAGGAAGATTCTCTTTGATGCCAGACGAAGACGCCACATCGAGAAGAGGATTAACTGTGCACTATCGACGTGGACCGTCGGCTCTGATGAAGATGAAGAGGTCGAAACGGCCGAATAAATATCTTTATCAACCTCGTAGAAGCTCAGCAATATAAACACACAATGTGCTTGAAATTATAGATAAGAGACGTCCAGTTCTCATCAGCACGTCATGAATACGGTTGGTTTTTAAAATCGCTTGCAGTGAATATTGCAATTTTCAACTGTAAACCATTTCGAGTTGACTCTTCCATATAACTCGAATGACGCCCATATTTGGACTACAAATGATCCAGATCTTGAATTAATCGAACCAAGAATCCTAGTTTCGATCAACAGGAACTACCTAGTGTATGGAAGGAAAGTTAGTGGACTTTAAGTTACCTCTATAATTCATAGAATTTTAAGCAAGGAGCTTCTATGTTACTGTATGAAGTTCTACTCTGCAGCTTGGTCGACCTCCTGCAAATCACTTGGTGACGATAGTCAACCACGGTGAACATCCTGTCGCCTTCAAAGTGCTTACTACGGACAATTATGCATATTTCGTCAATCAAGTAGGTGTTATTGATAAGCGTTTGAAGAATCAGATCTTCTAACCCATTAGTGGATAGAAGAACATTGCCTAAAATCCGATTTAGTGCAAACGCTGAATCTGCAGAACAGCAATTCCGGTGTAGTACATCGTGCCGCTGCATTAACAGTCCATGACATTCTGCGTATTCCTCATAGTTGTGATTTTATAGGACGTCGCTCCGGTTTCTAACCAAACCTCTTTGAATCAATAAATATGTTATAAGATCACTGAAAGAGTGACTACGAATTCTGTTCCAATATTTGCTTGTCAGTGAAGTTAAGGCCGCCCATTTATTGATTATTTCGGAAATCTCCGAAAGTTTAAGGCATTCGAAAGCTATAAAAAACGGACCATTCACCTTCGTAGGCACTTTTTTAACGGCGATATCCCAATAAATGTATATTGTCAAAAATCAATAAACCTTTTCACCTATTAAAGCTTGTCTGCAGGCAACAATACTTGGGTACATAGACGACCCGTTCTCTCCGGTTGTCCGGGCTTCAGCATTTTCTCCACTTTTGGGAGATTTGCTGGTTTAGCCACTGTATTTCACTGGAGTCTCGAGGTCAGCCAGGTCTAAGTTTGCCTTAGGTCGTCACCACCACATGCAGTCGCAGCCCTTGTGGTTCAGAACGACATTTGCCATCATGCGACTAGTTTGATACCCAGATGGGGTGGTGGATTATGGTATTAGTTCACTGTTAGCTGCGTTTCTTTATGAAAACACCGGACTCCTTCCCAGCATGGGAGACCCCACCGCGTAGATGAATCCCCCGCTGTAGATCGCAGCCCGATAACCAGGAACACCTCTTAGCCAAGCTAAAGAGGTGAACCCTTGGGATGTAGATAAAAATTACAATGCACGTTTCACGTGAAAAACTCTTAGTAAAACTTATAAATTGCAAAAAGCTCGTGGAAAGTATTGTCTTCCTATTAAATGTTTAACAGAATGATTAAGCCAAAAATGATTTTAAAGCTCAACATGAATTAATGCCAACAAAACGTTGAAATAGGGAGGACACATTGGGTTCAACACAGCGCCGTTACCCCCAACATGCTGTTCTTAAAGTCACTTTTCGTCCCTTTTCTTCACTGCACTTTCATTGATTATAATGGATCCACCAAGAGTCTTTGTATAGTCGAATAATTGAGGTAAATATATATTATCATGATGGTTTACTGCTGTCTACGTTTACAAATCAGATCATTTTTAATGTCAGGAGTCCAACTGCGGTTGATCTTTTATTCATCACCACATCGTAGAGGACTGAAGCTTTTCGTTCATTACAGTGCACTCTCATTGTCGAAGGTCATTTGCGGCATGCGCACTCGGTCCTTCTTATCCGTACTTTCTTGCAGGTGTTTGGTGTTATACCCGGCCGTCATCTACACGCGATACCCCATATCCGTGCACCAAACCAGTTCACCCTTCAGGTGAATCGAAGGCCGTACAACTGTTTCTGTGACGAACAACAACCATCGCATTGGAATACGTAAGCAAAAGGATCATAGATTTATTAGGGTCGATTGTAGGCAAATTCAGTAGACGGTGAATAGCTATATGAGGATCCCACTTGAAAAAGCCATTAACCCGTGACAGACGCGCGGATTTCAGCGTAGCTCTCCGAATGAAATACATGCAGGTTTTCAATGGCTGCAGATTTTCTGTTTTCTTTCACTATAACAGATGTTTTTTGTATAATCAGAGTGCATAAAATGGCAAAATCGTTGAAGAGACTTTGCTCTATGGTTCCACTGGCATGAATGATGTGTATGTAAATATTTGTTGTGCGTTACTATGGTTCGTTATGCAAATACACATGATTTCCCTTGGAACATTTTGAAATACTAGAACAAAAGACCTTGCACTCTGTGTTGAGTCTATTTTGGTGTTTTTATAATCGCACATTCCTAATAGTGGCGATTGTGATTAAAATAAAGCAAGTTGTTGCCCAAAATCTCAGCTAACGGTTTTTTCTGAAAAGGTTTTTGTAAATCGTTAAGTGTGAAGAATGGTTTTTTGAGTACACTTCTACTACTTTGATCTTCTTGCGATTAGCTATGGAATGAATATCCACGGTAGAGGAAACGAGGGAATTCTGGAACGCTCTTTGGTGAAAATGGATACCGTAGTTTTCCTACCGGACACTATGTGTTAACACTTTTTCTTGAGCAACGTGCTTAATCGGAGTCTCTTTGGATTTTGAAGCCCACTTGCCATATTAAATTTTAGTAGTTTTCACACAGAATTAACGACAGAGTCTTAACTCTTTTATTTACTGCCTTTTTTTCTTCTTAATGGCAGGTTATGTTGCGAAATATAACTCGTATGAAATGCTGAGATATTTGCAAAACTCCGGACCACAGGTGTATGCAGTGGAGAACGAACACGCGCTGTTGTCCTTACCGGGGAGCAGCGCAATTCACCACTACACCATCCGGGTCCTTCGCTTTGCGTATATCTCAGCTACTTCTATCGGCAAAAAAGATCTTTTTCTTTTCTCTTTTTTCTTTCTCTTTTTAAAAAAATCTTTTTGTTTGTCTGAATTAGTTACGAAGATAATCACCCGTCAGCGGGATGAAGGACAATAGCGTGTTCGTTCTCCACTGCATACACCTGTGGTCCGGAGTTTTGCAAATATCTCAGCATTTCATACGAGTTATATAACGACAGAGTATTTATGAAGTAGGATTTTGTTGAATAGTTATTCTAAGCTCTATTACACCACTTTTTTTATTGACCAATTCACTGAATTTAGATTAGCTACAAAATCGGACCTCAGAGGGGAAACCGGCAATGCAAAATCATCTGACGCCTTTCTGAGGTGATAATTTCAGACCTAGGAAAGACAAGCTGTTCATACTGCTGGCGCCGCTGTTCTCATTCAATATTGCTCCGGAATCTCTCTTCCATCATGAGAACCCATATGAAAAGCTGCGAATATGCCTCGAATATACAGGAATGCCCGTGGATCCCAAGAAAGGTGGTTCAGCAGATCCAGTGGTCCACTTGTGGCAGTTAAAACTTTCAGAATATAAGAAGAAGGTAGAAGAACTAGGGAATTTAGATTGAATCGAATTTCGAAGCGGATTCGCATCATTTAGGGTGACTGATACGCAAAACGAAAATATTAAAGCATATCTTTGTTCCAGATAAATCGTTCATATTCAAGAAAGTTCCTGGTTGGTGCACATGGAAGGTGGAAAAGAGAAGAGAAGAGCCATTTGATCTCTTCGTAAGTTGAGCGAAGCATGGTTTTCTGAAAGCTGGTGTTTGCTACACATTTCTTAACGTCCTCGCTCCTTTCAAGAAGTGTCACTTGAAGAACGATTTGTGGAAGCAACCATAGTAATGCTGAGATATTAATAAAACTCGGACTCCTCACGTCGAGATCAAACCAGTAATTAATTCTTCCGGTGCCATCCAGGACACTAACTGAGGATCTTGTTTTGCCTTACGTTCAAACCATTTTTTACACCATCGATGCTATCAGCAACTACCCACCAACGAAAACGATCTGGACAATCCAAATCGACAGTAGTCGGCTGTTAAGCTGCAACTACATTCGGAGTCATCATGTTTCACATTTTATTTTTCGGGCTATTCTTTTTTCGCGGAAAGGTAAAAGATAAAGCTCTCATCAATTCCTGACGGATGTGCCATGTATTCAACTACATTAAGCATTGTTAAAAGTGATCGCATGCATATCTGGGCTACACAATAATTCATCGTGGACTATCGATGCATCGGGTCAGCTTCGCTATCCTCTCAAACAGGTCACGTACCAATTTGCCGACTTCGGAGGGATGGAAAGCTTGGTGGGCTTGAGTCGCAGGATCGGACCCATGTGTATTGCAGGGCGCATCTAAAAACTGCGCAGCACACATCTTCCCGTGGCAGGATACGATACGAAATGTAATAGAACTCCTATAAGGGTAATTACAGATTCAAAGCCCAGCTAAGATTTCCTAGTTTTGCTCTTATGTCGGCATCTCCGTAGCTGTGTTTCGTACCTCATCCTGCGGTGCAAAAAGCATAGGCAATAAAGAAAAGCTGAAAATTTGGGATTTCGAATTCGACTTCAGTTTATTTGGAAACATTTTTCTAGAGCAAAACTAAAAGTCAGGCAAAAAAAATGATTTCAAATGCTGCGTCTACTCAGCCACTTATTTTCAAGGAAATACCGGATGAACCACCAGTGGTTAGTAAAGGATACAGTTCCATATCATGGCCTTCACTAACAAATCTTTCATTGTTTTTTTAAATCAGTCTAGGCTTAAACCTTTAACAGTTTTTAAGGTAAAGATCAGGTCTTTCGGAAATCAGTGTCGGATCTCAACGTTTATTTTTAAGGTGCACACCTTATCTCGGAATAAATTTTTTATTCGAGTTAAGAACAGTTAAGATCTAACAATTTTTGCCAATAACAAACGAACCCAGAAATAACATAATTAGTAGTCTTAACCGTTTTATTCACTGCCTACTGCTTTTAATGGCAGGGTATATTGCGAAATATAACCTTCAACGGTGCTAAGATATTTGCAAAACTCCCGACCGCAGGTGCCTGCGGTGAGGGACGAACGCGTTACTGTCCTTTCGGGGAGTAACGCGTTCACCACCACACCATGCGGGTCCTTCGTTTTGCCTGTCTCTCAGCTAGTTCTGTCGATCTCTGCCATCAGCAATCATCCGTCAGCGGGATTAATCTGGTCCGGAGTTTTGCAAATATCTCAGCACCGTTGAAAGTTATAATTAATAGTGTTAATAACATGGCAGTTGAAATATCTGAGTTTATGGACCCCATGATGCAGTTGAAGGTATTCGCAGCCCTAGCTTGATTTTTGAAACATTTTTCACAAGGAAAGTTATCGACATCCTTAAAGAAGTACTGGTAAATTGTTAGTGTTCTGATGAGTACGGTGGATAGGGCAGAGCTTTGTAGCCCAGATCTTTCAACTTTTGCAGCGTCTGTAGTGTCACGTGTGCTCCCGCGTTATCATGCAGGTAGATCGGACCCCGTCTGTTGAGCTAGTGAGGGGCAAAGCCGTTAAAGTATCTGGTGGACTTCCTCGTTTTACTAGACTCACTTCACCGCCGCAAAAGTAACAGTACGGTCGGAAAATCGGTAGTTCTGGTACTGCAAAAGAAACGACTGCGAAAACTTAAAGCGACAATGTCTTTGATTGTCATTCTTTCCTAGCAGCATCAATTTTCCCTGATTCTTCAACTTTTTTATAGCTTTTAGTTCTTCAGAATAGTAGAAATGTTGGAACGAAGTTCTGCTGCAGGTTCTCCAAAAGTTGTATGTGTGTAATGGTTTTCAAAAAGCTCTTAAATTCATTGTCTTTAGCAATAGGAGGGCGTCTCAAACCTCCATCATCTTCAAGGCCGAATTCACCACGGAAAATTTTTCAACCCTGTGTTACACTGTGCGTTCGTTAACACTTTCTGACCCCTCACCTCATTTATGTTTTGGACCGCTTGCGTTTTTGCTCTCCAGTTTAATTTCGCGGAGATTTACCCAAATTTTTGTTCAGACATTGAAATTCCAACCTTTTAGATTTTTCAAGACACAGTTTGCATCACAATTCAATTATTTGGGATGTAAGTGTATAAAATAAGCTTCGAACTAATGCGCAATAGCACAATGTTCGAAAAATTTTTGTGGAACACATACAAGAAAAGTCGACTTATAAATCCGACATTACTTACCGAAAGATTTAAAAACGTAAAAGCTGTTGACAACGGTCGAAATTTGGCTGCTCAGTAAGCACATCAGTTTTCAGGAACCTTCAAAACGAAAAAGGTAAGAGCGGGATTTGATTAGGTACAAAACTAGAAGTTACAAGCGGATTCACGTTTACACTCGGAATCTGTACCTTTGGAGTAAACTAAGACAAAATGACGAGCAAAGAAGAGAGCGCCTGTTATGAAGCAAGTCCATGACATTGTGGGTTGTTCTTCAACATTCTAAACGATCCGCACCGATAGCCAGGTTTCTTTCCCACAAAGGAGACATATCCTTTCATTGCGCGTGAAGATAGCAATCCAGACACAACCAGCTTTAAAGTGCAAAACTTAGATGCATGAATTTTCATCTGGAAAACATGTTTTACTTTATCAAGTGCATCACTTGTTGCCAGGTTGGTTATCGAGTGGCTTCATTAGCAACCACCTGAGCTTTCACACGTTCCCGGCTTGTAACCGCGGACGTCATATTTTTATTTTGGAATCTTCGTGAGTATGACCATCAACTCTATTCCTGGCTGTTGTGCGGAACCAGCCGATTTCTTAACGTCTTCTTCTCCGGTTTCCGTTAACAAGCACTATGCTTCGAGCCCATTTAATTTTCGGATCCTTTCTGTGCATAACAGCGTCTAGAACGTTAATCAAAACTTAGTAACCTTTTATCCTTATGTTTAAGTGTCTAAGTTTTCTCAAAATATATCAAAGCAAAAGTAGCATTGTTCAAAAGGTTGGTACAGCGTTATTTGTTCTTCGTCGTTTCCCTTACATCCGCTATACCACTATAAATCTCATGTGTAAAATCCGCGCATAAATCATAAATTGCAGATTATAGGCAGTGCGTGATGTAGCTGCCAATGTTGTGACGCACTTTTCGTGTGGAAGGTCATGACTTCGTTGATCATCATTGGGTTAGTACCATGTGTTCTGACAGCTGCCAGATAAACAGCCGAGCCATTGCACTGATGAGAACTAGCGGAGCGTTGTCAGGACCTTATTCTGCCCAAATCGGATATCGTATAGTTCTTCAGTGACAGAAGGAAGAACTGTTGCGATGACATATCCATGCTACTTGATTTTACAGCGAAACGTTTGGGCGTCACATTAAAGAGTGAGAATGGAAATCATAGACAAATTTTTTCTTTACTCTGCTGGAAGTCGTGATTGTTGTGCATCGGAAGAGTTTGATCACGCTACTCTTGAAACCAACACCATTTCGGCGGGGTTTCTGCGATCGTTGCGAACGATCTCCCGGCTTCATGAATTACTACTGCACTTTTCTTTTTAATATCTTATTTATTCGTCTTTCCTCAGAGCTTTGCCGGTTATTTTTGGGAGATTATGAATTTTAAATGGACGTTATTAACGTGATACTGTTGAGCAACAATAACTGTATCGTGGCCTTGTTGCCGTTGCCGGTTTTTTCTCTAAAAGCATGATAACCATTTGAAGAAACGCAAATCTACGATAGCTTCGTGTTTTCGTTTTTTTAATTTTGCGGCTTTCCCTCCTTTCTGCGAAACAATAAATTTCTCTGCAGTGTTGGTCCGATGCCATGTAAAATTTTGGGGTAACGACAACGTGGGTTAATCAGAATACTCGATTTCCTATAATATGTTCTATTCCGTTATGGTGCATTGGAAGACGCCTGATGTGGCGTACTTACTTCGTGATTCCGAGTTAAACTTTCACAGAGAGTTCACAAATAACCTTAGGCAAAATTTTTTCTCTCTACCATTCAATTGTCGAATTCTGAATTACAATGCTTAATAAACATCTTCAGATGAAGGACTTCTCTGCTTAACGTAACTTCTGGCCGTCTCTTACCCAGTTTCGGAGCACGTGTTTCCAGATTTTTCTCGGAAGTGGTTCGCAAGAAGTAACTGGCATATAAGACAGTGAACCTAAATATGCATGCATAAGTGGGTGTAAGTATATGTAACAGAGAGATGTCAACCCGGTATAGCAGAGAGGTCTCCTTCTCCCAATTGACGTGCCTCTCACAGAAGCATAGGGTCACTTTTGATTGACGTCAAGCCCACTGTCCTACTCCTGATGATGTGCCAGCAAGTCTTGGGATTCCTTAGAAAGAGTGATCTGTAGATTTGACTTTATACTCATATGAATTTGTTGGAGTGCGCATTCTTTAAAGCCTGCATCACAATTTTGAAAATATTTCTGTTGTGCTCTTCGGAGTTGTTTTTAACAACGAACTAAGGTGTTCTCTCCAAGGCCCCCAGTGATCATGACACACTGGAGAGAACTACTAGAAGACCACAGTTCGTAAATCTTAATGCCAACATCTGCAACAACATGAATTTCTTCATTGTCACTTTCAGACTTGTTTCGAAGAAAGAAAAAGCGAAGATGAAGCCAAGTGGAAAACAGAATTTAGACGCGCCTGATCGTGAAGAACCAGGAAGTGTGCGAAATACTGGAAAACTTTCTGGGAATTTATCTGAAGCCGCTTCCATCAAGGCTATTTCTCCATTAGACGTAGAGAAAACTCCAGCATCTTCTTTGAGAGTAGAAGGAACGTCAAGCGAAGCTGATATCTCAGCAAAGGGAAATTTGCACGACTCCGATTACCTCACATGACCTCGCAGTTAGGCCAAATCGAGCGAAACAGTGCAGTGAAAGAGAAATGTAAAGTTCTAGAACCTTTGAGATAATGCGTAAACACAATTTTTGTTCTGTGCCATCGTCCTATTCTTTCTTTAATAATAAATATCTCTATCGATTTTGTTTTTTAAAAAGGAACTCCCAAGAACTCTCCACAGGTGATAACCGTTAACTAATTAAAGTGTGTTTATTATACCTAACTCTGATGTTTTAAATCCAATGTTTTCATTCAACTTTAACCACAAGGACTAAGTACTGCTTATTCTCTTAACGACTTTGGAGCCGTCATCCAGATTTCCTTCCGTTCTGTCCTTTTTATTGAAGTTTTTCTGAGGAAGGCTTTGATATTCCAGGTCCAAAAGGATATATGCAGAAACAAACAAAGCGTTGATTATAGAATAAAAAAATCAGAGCTACTAGTCAGCCTAGAAAACCACTTAACCATCCATGTGATGTAATTTCGATAGCACGTTGTTACAGGTCTTATATTTCGATTGATGGTGTTAATATGGAAACAACTACAAGCATATTAGTGTGACGAACATTGAATTCAATTCAGTTCATTGACGTCATCAGATATTTGGTCACGGATGACTTATTTTCTGCTAGCTGCTTCAAAAAACTGGAGTTGACACAACCGTTTCGCTAACGCTTATTCTGCCAAGGAGAGCTAAAAGATAACAATTCCAAAGATCGATTTTCTCTTAACCTTGACACTGATCTATAATTCACTGGGTTTCTTCAATGAGCCAATACGAGGGTGGCGTTACAGCACTTAATGGTACATTATAGCCCTGACGTTTCAGCAGTTATGCTTTCGTCAGAGCCTGGAAGGGCCAAATTGACATGAAATCTACTCAGCCAAACACTCTCATAACCACAAAAAATAACACTTAGCCCATAATCCAAATAACAAACAGCTTTTTTAAACTTTTTTATTCGCTGTTAGACTTCCAAGTTAAGTGGTGGAGGGCAGCGGCACAAAGTAATACATGGACGGGAATGTGCTTGGATTAGGTCACAGAATCAGCACGAAGTATGGATTTCCTTGGGAATCCAGGTAACCGCAATGGCTTAACCAGCAAATCTCCGAAGAATGGGCCGTTCAAGTATCAAGTAAGATTATTATAATTTTTCATTGCAGGGTATTACGTGTGATATTATATATTACACTGTGGTTGTATCATACGTAATACCTTGCCATGAAAAATTGTAATAGGCAGTAAATAAAGCCAGCATTATGATTTCCACTACAGTCTCATCTTAACTGGGTTCGTTGCCGATTTGGGCCCTCCAGATTAATCCTGTTGACGGGTGGTTGCTGGTGGCAAAAAGATCGATAGAACTAGCTGAGAGACAGGCGAAACGAAGGACCCGCATGGTGTGGTGGTGAACGCGTTACTCCCCGGAAAGGACAATAGCGCATTCGTTCCCCACCGCAGGCACCTGCGTTCCGGACCATTGCAAATATCTCAACGTCACTGTGGTTGTAACAGCATATCGATAAGATGAAGAAAGATGCTTTCACTGTAGGAAAATCAATAACTCGACCCCTTTATGCAACCGCGCTTTTACGATAGCCTATATTATAGCAACTATTCCCAGAATAGTTTCTATTTCTTTCTATATATTTGTATCTTTCTACTACTGTATGTTTCAGTATTAAGGATCATATCCACTGTTTCTCAAGTTGCCTAGCAAATGTCGTAGTACGTAAATATTTCGATCCCTCCTTAGCAACTTCGATCGCTGTAAACAGTCTTATTATGCAAACCTATTTTTGCGGATTGAACTCGTTGTTTGTTATTACTGTCCAAAAGTCATCACGCGTACAATAACAAGAAGGGCATGAGGATGTTTTGCGAGAGCAGTCTTCCGCCAGATGATATGTGGTTTTGAGAGGATATGGAAACGGTAGCCGGCGAATGTTTTCGGTAAAGATGTTGGACCTGTGCCAAATACCGCCTTCTCCAGAAGCATATAAATAGGCTCGTTAATTGTTATCCAGGTTCGTCGACTATCCAGGTTCACCCGTGTCGTGGTTCGCCGGCTCTTTAGATCTGTACCGTATTGGTCTTGTGTGTCACCAATATAGGTTATCGTAGTTGTTAAGTCATACAGCATGTAGTCATTATTGTACATTAACTTCATCATATCATTGTTAAATGACAATTGCGAATTGTACATTAGTTTAGCATCACCGTCACTACGTCACGCTTTCCATCAGTCCAGTGTATCCTCATCATCATCATTATCCTGATCCTCATCCTCGTGCCAATATTCATTGCTTTTCAATTGGTCTGCGATGTGTTGTCAGTAGCTGCGGCTATCCTTAAATGCGTTCTGTCTGAAACGCCATCGGTGGCATGTACCATTCCTCCCACATGGTACGCCATGCGTACAAGGCCGCTAGCCGGCCAACTTATGCTGTGTATTTGTTAGGCCGCTATAGGCTTATCATTTCTCAGTCGTTATCTTTCTCGTCCTTAATCTCATAGGCAATGGTGGCACCCATCGATGTTCGAACGTCACGTTGCAGACATGTCGTTATCCAAGAGCAGCCGCCTGACCGTGTTCCGCAGATATCCCATCTCGTTCGTAGTCACTTCCACAAGCGATGCTTAGGTAACTTGCTATCCTCATCGATTAATGTGTAAGTACACCCAGCCGCTTTACATACGATCCCTAGTTTAACCTACTGCAGGGCTCATCTGCATCTCACTCGTCTGTTGTTCTAGCCCTCGGCATCTGGCCACCGAACGCGCCAGTAAGGGCGCCATCGTTCGTATCCCCTTACTTATCATTGTTATCAAGTTGCTGTTATCATAGTACTAATGTTGCAATTGTATTATTTACAATACTCTTATGCCTTCGTAAACCTCGCATTAGTAGTAGCTACAGCACCTCATAGCCTTGAACTTGCCTTATTTGTCTGTCAGTAGTTTTCCGTCGATATTAGCGCTGTATTGATGTTGCATTTAAGTATATAAACGGTTTAATTACCCAAGTTTGAGGTAATTCCCTTGTGACAACTACGAAAAGTCCCGCGTGGCATTTTCTCACGAAAGTCGAGCATTCTGCTAAAAGCTAGTGATTATTCGGTGCCGAGAACTGACTCGAAGGCCTATTTACGACTAGCAACTTCAATATATATCACTATTTATTCTTTTGGCTATAGACTAACTCTCTGCTCTCGTATTCAGTAGGTCTTAGTGGATTCTATTTGCCTTACAATTCTCAAGAGTATCGTATTTTTCGTTTTTCATTCTTGCAAAGGCGTCTAACTGCTGGCGTTTGGTAGTGGTATTTTTGTTTTAATCCTTGATGTTCGTGAGACGATGTCGTTAACGACTGTTGTTCATCGGTTCTCTCTCGGTTACATCACCTGTCAAACACCTGATTTTCAACATCTTAACATGATGGGCTGTGTCTTCGATTGTCGGAACTTACCACAGGTTCTCTCTGTCGTTAGTGAGGTATGAGATATTGCCAGCATCGCCATCTCTACTGAAATCGTGTTAGTTAGAATACTAGCGTGATACAACGAGAAGGAGCAGTCATGACCTCTAAGGCGGTAATGAAGAATCATGTGAAATTAGGGACCATTGATGGTCAACCCACTAGTTCTTTCTTTCGTCATTGAGGAACTGCACAACATCCGATTTCCGAAAGATAAGATCTGGACATCGCTCCGCTAGTTCTCATCGGTGCAATGCATCGTCTGTCCATATGGCACGCTTCGGAATACATAGGACCTAATCCAACGATGATCAGCAGGACCATGACCATGCACACGAATATGGACCACAACGTTGACAAATGCCTCATGCACTACCTATAATTCTTAATTTGTGATTTTTCCTCCATGTATAGATGGGTTTGCTTGCATATGTCCAGATTAGATCTTCCTCGTTAGTTCATTCACGAGCCTGAAGTCAAGCGACTGGACCGATCAATCAAGTCTGAAAGATTTAGTTTTATCCTTTATATTATTAAAAAGGTTGTGATCAACTTCGAACGTAACCAATCGACAATGTAACATGTCATTTGGTGACAAATCTTTGTTATTGTCGAATTTCTATATCATGCGGTAAGAAGTGATGAACCACGAGTAAGGTGAAAGCAAGCCGTTCTGCTGCAATTGTATCAACTCATAAACATATCGTGATAGTTCGACACGGATAGCTACCTTATTTCGTGTGATCTTCTTCTAAATATTATGTCAAGAAGACCTTAAACATGGGTATTCATAACTATCACGTTGAATGTGATATTGGTTATCAAACTTAAGGTTTCCTGATTAACGTGAGAGGTTGTTGGAGATTGCATTTCAATCGTAATCGCCTATGGTTGCCGGCGGCTACTTCACGGATGCACGTCGGACGAAAATCCGTCAGAAGACAGGAGTCGGTTTCATTGAAGATTATTTCCTACGAAGGTGGATTTTCTACTCAGCGCTGCAAAGCGGTCATAGTTCATAGTCTGCCTGGTCATTCACATTACAGGAATTATGTTTCATGTTGATCTTTTATCACTTTTAACTATCCAATCGTTTCTTGAGCAATGACATTTGAAGCCAATGACGGCGAAAGAAGCTTAGCAGTAATAGAAGCCTTTTGATTGAAACAAATTTTGGACAAGTGTTGTTGTTCCTATTAAATTTAGTAAAAAAAAGTGATAAACGGTACTGATGCTCAGCAGCAGCAGTGGTACTGCCTCTTAGTATTTTCAGTGAAATTAGTGACTATCGGCGATTACGAACCTTAGTGAACCTCATCATTGGGGTTGTTTTTTGCGCCTGTCTCTACTATCTCGGCTGGAAGAATTTAAACTTCGCAGACTTTCATTTCGCCTATGGAATCATTTTCAAGTGGTTTATGATAATTTCAACGGCTTTCGCCTTTGCACTCAGTCCGGTTTGTTTTGTTTGCATTTTTGACTTCCTATAAATTCTTTTAGATCAGGCACCTCATGAAATCTTCGGGTTTTTCGAACTTTCTAAAAATTTTGCTCGTCAAACAGCAACAATAAGGATCTTCTTCTTCGGAATAGAATAAAAGGATAACGCTCTCGGCGTTGATCAATTCCTGAGGGATGCGCCATGCATGCGACTTCATTAAGCATCGTTTGGAGGTGATTGAATGCATATGTAGCTTTCACAATGACTCGCGGTGGCTTATCGATGTATTGAGCCAGTACTGCTATCCTCCCAGATAGTACCAATTTGCCGACCCCAAGGGATGGAAGGCTTGGTGGACCATGGGCGCGGGAATCGATTCCACGTGTGTGTTGCAGGGCACCTTCGACCACTGCGCTGCACACGACTGCGGTGCAGGCGCCCATTTTTGTTCCTCAGAATATAGTTACATAACCTAAAATTACCTGTTACATAGTAAAGGTAATGGTTCCGCTTCTTCTTCATGATTGCTTTAAAAAAGTGCTGGATCACAATCCAGTTCATCAGTATCCCCAGCAGAACGTTTCGGCAACTTTTTCAAAGGCAGCTAATCTTGTACGTTTTTCATTTATAGAGTTTGAATAAGAACAACTTGACCATTAAGTGTGAAAAACAGCTGGATGGTTGAGCATCGTTGGAAATAAGTCTTCCATATGGTCGCTGGAGGCACTACAGATACAGATCTGACGTTTTATCTCAGAAACGAACAGCGACAAAGCCGTGTTTTGTGAGGGAAATGAATTCTAAAGGTCACACAGAAGTAATCATATAGCCTCTGCAGCTTCATACTTTACTTTTGAATTCCATTGCATTGTGATGGTTCGTTGGTCGATAAAAAATCTGCTGCCACGTTCAGCATACGCCCCATTGCTTAATTTTGTTCTAGATGTTCCGATGCGCTATGCTTTGTGTGCTTCTCGGAGCTATGGGGAAGAACGGTCAAGGTAAGACGTGCTGTCTCACTGGGTATCGCTCCGGCATAACAAATAGGTGCTCCGTAGGTTAATTCTTTTTTTTCCCGTACTATATTTTTAGCCCCATTGTCGCTACTAATTTTGGAGAACCTCCAAGACGGATCCATCACCAACATTGTCACCAACTACCAGGTTATTTCTTCGTTCTTTGTTTCAGAATACCACTATAACAAAGTTGCAGTACGAGATATGAGATGTGCTAAATCTGCAGTTTATTAAATTCAATGGCAAGATTTTAGAGAACAGCGGAGATCTTATTGTGCCATCTGGAGCTTCAAGCAAAAATTGCCTCAAATCGCGTATCAATGCTGACTGGACCAGTTGAAGGCGTTCTTGAAAGGCAGTTAGGTACATGGTTCTCGGAAGCGCCTTTAATAAACAGTTCTTCGCTCGAAGAGAAAGAACCGCTTTAATACTATAAGAAATATTTGCATATTTGAAATAGGGCTTACGGCGAAGTGGGTAGAGGTGGTCTGCGATGCGCACGGTTATCGGCTCGATCAAGAGCTCCAGGATAACCAAGCTCATAATCGTGGTTGAAAATTTGCTACCAGTAGTATATCGAAGAACAAAAACACTAACTTGGCATATCGAAAGCCTCATAGGTTCTTGTATGAGCGAAATATGGATCCATTCACCTCTATGATGCTTGAATGGAGGCAATGACATCACTCTCCCATAAGGGATTAATCAATATGAGGGGTTTCACGGCTTACCCACAAAGCGTTTGTTTATTTAAAGAAACCCGTTCATTTCTACTATTATCTGATTTGGTCAGTCTGCAGAAGTGGCGTTTGCACTTTGATATGTTATGCTCAAACAAGCGATTTATATATAGGTGGCATTCAGGTACTTTAAAATTAGGGAATCTTGACAGGTTTTACTGGCATTGTCTCACTTTGGCACTCCATCTAACACTATGAAAAAGTCATTCGTTATCACTGTGGTTCTGTACAAATTTTCAGATGAGATATGCTGCTCTTTTGAAATCCACAAAACATTCGTATGAGTGTTATTTTTATTGAAAATGACTAAACATATCATATGTTTAACACAGATTCTTTATTCGGAAATTTCTTTGACACTTAAATAATTCGATCAGTCGTCTTCATATTTCTTGCAGACCTCAGAAGTTCTCCTATTCGTTGCGTTATCTTTCAACAGTCGTGCATAGAGGAAGTTGGGCTCGTATGCAGATGTGTATGTGGTGAAGAACTCCTATTCGTTCAGTTCTTTGCTCACCGACAATTAGTGCTCGGGTGTGGTTTTCTCTGGCATGCCGGGGTGGCCGTAGTTAACTCTTCTCAGGTCTGCATCACGAACAATAGATGGTTCTTGTTGATCGAAGAAGGTTTATTCTTTTTTATTTACTGCCTATTTTTTTAATGGCATGGCATACGTTGTGAAATATAACATCAATGATGCTGAGATATTTGCAAAACTCCGGACCGCAGGTGTATGCGGTGGGGAACGAACGCGCTATTGTGCTTTCCGGAGAGTACGCGTTCACAACCACACCATGTGGGTCCTTCGTTTCGCCTGTCTCTCAGCTAGTTCTAACATACCCTGCCATTAAAAAGAATAGGCAGTAAATAAAAAAGGTTAGGATTGTGATTATGACTATAGCCTCGATTTAACTGGGTTCCATGCCGATTTGGGCTCCCCAGATCAATCCCATTGACGCATGATTGCTGATGGCAAGTGATCGATAGAACTAGCTGAGAGATAGGCGAAACGAAGAACCCGCATGGTGTGGTGGTGAACGCGTTACTCCCCGGAAAGGGCAATAGCGCGTTCGTTCTCCATCGCAGACATCTGGGGTCCGGAGTTTTGCAAATATCTCAGCATTATAGAAGAAGGCTTATTGTTTTCCAACTCACATTCGTCAAGCACATTAACGATTCGTAGAACGGTAACGAATTCTGTGAACCAGCCTTGGCCGAATTTCAAGTTGAGGTTTGAATTTTATCCGAAGATGTGCAATTTGGCTTTGCCTACGATTAGAAGACGTGGATTGCAATCTTTTATGGGCGTCCATTTTTAGTGAAATTTAGATCTGGGTCTTCAAATGTTGAAAGATCTCATTAGTACTATCCGAAGTATCCTCGTCCCGTTTCTGGCGGAAATCAAAACAACCAGAACTAAGGAAGATAAGAAACTGGATGAACGTGATGAACAAATCAGTGTAGGTGCAACGTTTTTAGTTTCCAACACGGATTTTTCCTAGAAAAGAAAACAAAGAGAAAACAATGTTGAACACCTGCTAATGACCATCTTGTTCTAAAATCAGCTTCTGTAATGCGGCTTAATCTTATGGAACAGTATGATTTGCTTAACTGAAAAACTTTTCCAAAAGTCCACCTGTGTTAGAAGTCTTATCGGTCGATCTTTATGAACCTATTTATCACTAGAGGATTTTTCTTTACTTAATTATACAAGACCTATAGAATACAAAATAATCACGGTAGATTTAAATTCCAAAGAAACTTCTTAAGCAAAGTTTTCATGTTGTTTGCAACGAGAAATAATGAGGAAGACGTTATTCACTGCTGGATCTTGCAGTATAAGCAATGAACCACCCAAATGATAGTAGAAGTTCTCCTATTCAGTGTTGGACAGCTCTGAAAGCTCATGATTGGCTACTCTCTTTTTTGGAAATCTATGCCATTTATTGCATAGTTATTGATTATTCCACTAGTGTAAGACAGTAGAAATGTAATCGTTATTGCGAAATGTGTTGTTTTTTGTAGGAGATCTTGAATTTGAGGTTCAATTTGATAGTATTTGCACTACACTGTTTAGAACTTGGCTAGGCGTAAAGCTCTAGATTCGATGATGATGAATGAGAAAAAATCCGAAGAGCACAACGAAGATGATGACAGCAAAGAGTCAGCTGGAAAGCCAAAGAAAGACGACGCGAAGCCGACATGGGCAGAATTCAAGACGAAAGTGAGCCACTCTGCTACGGCCGCTTTCGGATTCAGTTGTTCGGAGACGTTGTTTCAGCATGGTCGGCAAATCGCTAAACGTACTGCGAAACGATGCAATGATGTATTTTTCAAAGGGGTGGAGAAATGCCGAGATTTTATGTCATCCGTAAAGGTGCAAATTTTCCTTGGCTCTAGATACTTGTGGATATTCGTGGTTTACTTAATTCATTTCTTATTGGCTCGTGTGATGTACGGCATCCGCAACCAGTGTTACTCGTGAAAAACTTGGAGAAAATTACTAAAATTACTAATTGAACACATGTCCCGATGAATCGCCTCGACTGATAAATTTGAAAAAGAACAATAGAAAATTATATTAACGTAGAAACCACGATCAGAACACTCTTTCATTGTGTGTCTTTTCTTTCTGATAAACCAAGCGAAATGAGACAAATGTGGAAAATAGAACTTTGGAGTAGAAAATCATGGAGGTCATGGTATTCTACTGAATTAATTTTATTAATGCATTCTGTGCATAAGGCAATTAGGATTTTTTCTTAAGCCAATCACGACGACTTTCAGGACAAGTGCTACGAAGCACTACCGTTTTATCTGGAGTATTTTATTTGTCCAAAGTTGAACACAGAAGAATCGTGCAATGTTTGTTTTTTTTTAATAGCCTTGTGGTATATGAGGACAGAACAGTGAGAACAGTGCAGAGGGCAAGAAAATTTTTATGATTTAGTAAAATGGAGAGTAGCAACGCAATTCTCCGGGAAAGGAATATTTTGGGAAAAATGTCAGCTTACAATGCTATTAAAAATGCTATTGTTAGAGGATTTTCTGGTCCTTCCGTCCTCTTCATGACCACAGCTGCTGTTTCACAGTTGCGATGACTTTTCTCTATAATGCAAGCCACCAGAGGTGGGAATGAGAAGGAGGAGATCGGGGGTTCGGCTCGTAACATCGTCGTCTAGTGATTTGTCAATAATCGCAGCTTTCGTCGCCATCACAGGAATCACTATGCTCTTTTAGGAATTTGAGTTGCAAGCCAGGAAACTTGCTCAGTTCATAAAGGACAACAATATCTGTAGCAAATACCAAGGAACGCTTTAGCACTGCTATGTTGCCTTTTCGAAAGAAATTACATTCGATAAGAACTCACATTTTCCGCAATGATAAGATGACAGATCCTCAACTCACAGCTGATCCCACAGACGAATCGGTTGGTGACACGTGCAGGAAAAGGAAACGGTTGGAAGAATTGCTGGAACGTTCACATCATATGAATGCCTGTCATTTAAATACTTATCTAAGTAGTAAACTATCGACTCCGAGGAACTGTCGTGTGCGCCATAATCAACGTTATATTCAGTAGGTTTTTGTCCTTATAGCATTTGATAAATGGAACAAACCACTGATGCAACAACAATTATGGAGTTTATTGTGCATAGCTTGTTTCGTGGCCTAAGGAGATCTCCTATTTAGCGCTATTATGGGGTCATCGTGATGATGGAAACACAATCGCTGCTTAGAGGACGTGATTTTGTGAATGACAATCACTGGGCAATATTTTCCTCTGCGTTACACATGAACTTTTTCGTTTATTTGTTTCGAGTTATTTGTTCCGAGTTATTTGTTCGTTTATGCTTCAAAATGCTCTTCAAACTTCTTCGATAATAATAGTGCAAAAACACGGCGACGTCGCATTTTCGGGAAACTTCACGGAAGACAATTGCATTCCGCCGACGCATTCGTCGATGATTGTCAATCATTTAACGACACTGTCCAGTGTCAGTCTTATGGAATTACCTTCACAAAACAGGCAATGGCTACTCAGTGATCGAATATATATCAAAGAAAAATGGCAATTTTTTCTATGTTGTTTTCGGAAGCGCTACAGTTTTTAAATGTTATTCCATGGAGGTCTTTTTCGAAGGTGGTATTTGGTTAGAGGAAGTTTGACAGCACAGCCGCTTATATTAGCAGACTCTCACGTGCTCATCGATTCCTTGGGTGATTCTCGTAAACTTTTCGGTTTGGTACCAATTTTTACGTTGAAATACTCAAATGATAACTAGAGGAAGCATGAGACAAGTGCTTCTAACTAAACCATTACAGTAGTCGCTTCCAAAAACGACTGATTTGATGTTTTTCGTGCCCGTTCGCTTTGCTGAGTGCTCACTTCATTTGTGTGTGTTACGACAATGTACGAATTCCTCATTCAGATTGAAGTTGCCATATAGCCCATTTTCTTGCAGTTAAGCAACACATCAGGTACTCGAAAGATATTGAAGTCGCAGTTATTGGTGGAAAAAGCAACGAGCCAAAAGTTGTGACTAGCACAATGAGAAGCAGACATCGTCACTTACACCTCACTCACGCGACTCCTTGTGATTGTTGAAATTCAAAACGGCTCCAGCTTTTCTGGAGCCAACTCCTGTTCTGCACGCGGAGGATGCGAAGCATGCTCAAAGCTCAGTCACTTACTGACGGTTTACCGCGTTTGTCCTGAATGCATAATTTTATGTTTGTTAAAATCACCATTTTTAAGAAACCTTCTCATTCTGAGCTGGAGAACCACTTCCATGGAAACCTCGACTTGCTCCTGTTGAATCTTGGCTCTTCATCGTTGTTCAATTTCCAAGATTGCTTCCTTATCTTCATTAGGTGGTGAACCGAGGACAGTTATAACGAAATAAGTGAACCTCGTTATTTTATTTACCCTCCTCGCCCGCTGGGCCGTTTCCAGTGCTTATTTCGTAAGTTCCGTTATCTTTCATCTGTTATCGCCCGTCTTAAACGTGTCCAACTTCGTATATGGGTTCCGCAGCTACTTGAAGATTTTATCTCCTCAGCGTCCACTGAATTCTTGTCAAGCGTAGTTCTCTTTCCTTTTTCTAGTGTATCCAGTCGTTTATTATAGCAGTAACCGGGTTTACTATATCGGAGGAAACCTTTAATAGGCTTGTCTGCTCGCTGATCCCGAGGGTGTAGGCGGCTAGAAGGGCTGCGAAACGGTAAACCAACCCATGCATGATGTGTGATGCAAATATAACGATTGCAATTCCTTGAATAAAGAACAATTATTCGGGAAAATTATTAGCGGTCGTGAGTTTCTCGTCATGTCACTAGGCTCTAGCAGTGGACCACTTGCCATCGGGTCTAGTTTGCCAACTCAGTCTTTTTTTTACTGTACTCTACACGCGTCAGATTATGAAACGCCGTTTGGAATCACTTGGAGCCTGCAAGCAGTTCATGAGGAACGCACAAATGAGCAACACAATGGAAGGCGATCTTAATGACGTTGTAAATCTCACAAACAGCTTGGACACAGAGCTGCAGGCTAACGTAAGACTGTGCTTATCTTCTACTTACACCACAACGATCATTTCGTTTATCTGAAGCTCTACTAATTTTGTCGTAGTTTTTAACTTATTTTGCTTCAGACCGCTTAAATGTAACTACACATCAAATCACACAACTTGTGAGGATCTTATATGTAGAATATATCACATAATAATCTAGGAATATATAGCCCAATTTCCGTTACTGTGCATTAAGAGAGAATTAAGCGCTGCGAAACATGGCCATCATTTGCAGAGGCTTTCTGCTAGAAGTGCCTTCTATTTTCTCGAAAACAAAGCGAGAGAATGCGTACCCAGTTTTGAAAATCTTTCTGAAAAAACCGTAGAAACACGTTTTCAGCAGTTAGATAGTTTTTATGACATTGAAGGGAATCCAATTTATTACAAGTGTGTGGTATTATTGCCGAAACCTAGAAATCGTCTTCGGCCCATCTGATAATCGTATTTTGTCCTCTATGTGATGACGTAAATTTCCAGTAAGACCTCTAGCGTTTTTGTTCATCTGTTCGAAATAATTAGCAATCATAATCGGGTTAAGGCATAGTGACACACCGTCTACCTTTCAATTCCACTTACAAATCTCTGTAAATCTTGCTACCTGTAGAATTGTCGCTGTACATCCAGTTTTTCAAAGTATATGTCAACTTCAATGATACTGAGATATTTGCAAAACTCCGGACCGCAGGTGTATGCGGTTGCCCTTTTCGGGGAGTAACGCGTTCACCACCACACCATGCGGGTCCTTCATTCCGCCTGTCTCTCAGCTAGTTCTATCGATCTTTTGCCATAATCCGGAAACAGAGACCAGCTTTGGGGAACTTACCTATTTGAGGGTCTCCGGTTTTCGATCATTCCGTTAGTGGTATTGGGCTACCTAGGAGAAGCTGATTCAGCATTTCTGTCTATTTAGAGCTACTCGACCTTACTTCGTCGCAGTTTTCGTTTAGCCCCATAGTTTTGCTTTTTATGCACTTCTGCACAAGTTCATTTTTTGATTGACGATAGATTTTATGCTTCTTCTTGTTGACGAATAAAGCAACGTCAGGTGGAGATATCAATAGTTAAGCTAGTTAATGGAAGGGATGAGTCATTTTTTAAATCAATAAGGTTTGGTTCAGGTTGTTTACAGTTGCATTTCAAACTCTCGTTGTTACCATTGCGCTTTAATCGTCACCAAAACCGTCATATTTTCTTCCTTCTTCTGATGTTGGCTTCCTGAGTTGAAAGAGTTCGTCATCTTCTTTTGTTCCATTCATAAGCGCACCTTTTAAAAGTTTTTACGCTGAAATTCTTGGAATTCCTAAAACGACCCAAAAGTTTCTGTCTTCTCATTATCAATGCAATAGAAGCCTTTTGAGCATATAATGAATAGCGCTTTCTAGAAATTTGTTTCCCATAATTTAGACCTATCGCAGAGCAAACCTATGGTTTTTTTTATACAAGCCTTTATTCGTCGTTAAATGCTTAGTAATTGGTGCACCACTTTGAAATGACCCAAACCTCTTAAATATCCAACTCCAATTTCCTTTAAATGAGAGGCTCTTATCCATCTCAGAGTGCCAGAAATTTTTGTTAATGAAGCAGTAAATAAGAGCATGTAGCTGTTTCATTGATCGAATTCGTTTTCCTAATCAGAGTTCGAACAGTGGTTTAATAAGGTTCAAAATCTCAGAAAATGAGCAATGACTACTTGTCCAATCTGTATTATTGTACTTATCGATCCTAATTCATTATTTCCTAGCTTGTTCATTTTTCACGGTTCTTTTCAGCTGCATATGATGCTTGTTGAAATGCCTCGTCTGGAAAACGTCTTCCAAGTTTCCGAACTTAAAATGTTCGTCAGCATTGGAGCGAACTATGTTAAGGTCATAGTTAATATTACTTCTAATTCACATGAAGCACCTCCACTTGTCGACCTTTTGCGGGCCAAAATTTATCGATGAATGCGTTGGAATAAAGGTATCCCCAAAAATAATCATCCTTGAAACCTTGCTTACTTACTAACTTGCTTGGACACTTTGGTGGCCCGTCTTTACCGGCCGTGCGGACCACAGCGCAATTTCCGCTCTACTGGGCATTTGCTTGTTAGCCACTTTGGTTCCTTGGAGTTTCGAGGTCGGCCTAGCTGAAAAATTCTTCAGGTCATCATCGTCCAACTCATTTGCAGTTCTTGTGGATCAGAGCAAGATTTGTCACCATAGAAGAAGGCTGATACCAGGGGGGTGGAGGATGCTGGTATTGGTTTACACTTAGCTGGGCTTTCGAATGGGAACGTTGAACAACTTCTCAGCTTGGGAGACCATGCGAGAGGACGAACCCCCGCTATACATCACGGCCCGACCTCCAGGAGCACCTCCTACCCACAATAGAGCGGTAAAGCTTTAGGAGGTAAACTTAAGTAGAAAAATTAATTTATAAAGCGGTTAGTGCTTGTTTTGAATACGATTCGGAATTTCAATACGTTGACTTTTTAGCGATTCTACCTCTGCGGATGTTGATGAGTTATAGGTGGTGCTGAGGACTGCTAAGCAAGTAGTTGAAGCCCTCTTCGTCTTCTACGTCTATGTGATTTTTCGTGATTCTGTGATTCTTATCGAGAATTACCTTACAGACGTCGACTACAACAACTGCTTTATAACCAGGTGACTTCGATTCAGTGCTTTTGTTAAAATAAATTATCAGTTGAAATGATGCAGAATAAAACCACCGACATAAATAAAAGTGTTCGCACGACATATTTCATTGTACTAAGCCCACCCTCAGATAATGAAGTCTAGTAACGTCGATTTTAACTAATAAATCACACGTTTCAAAATGATGGAAAAAACTGGTTCCATTGCATTAGTTAATTTGTTTGACACTGAGCTATATAACCCTACCCCGTTTAAGTAAGGACTGTGACAGTGGAGGTGAAACTCCCTCACGCAAGTAACCGTCCTCGTAATTAACCTCATGTAATTAAGTTTTTTGTCTTGTGCAGGTTAAACGTCTCAGTGAATTCACATAACACATATAACCATTGCATTATTGCGAAAGGGTCTTCCAGTTGCGAAACATCTGGTGCGAAAAACCTTCTCAGCTGTGATCACCCTGAGGGCTGAGCCACGCATGCGATTTTATCAATTATCGTTAGAGGTGAATAAATTTATATCCCGTCTATATAATGACATGTGGTGGGCCTACTGATGTATTAAGTCAGTGCTGGCTCTACCATACAAGCCCAGGTAACACCAACCTGCCCACCTGGAGGCATGGATGGCGTGGTGGGCTCAGGGCGTCTACATTTAGTCTTAATACATCAAATTTAGTTTCTTTTTTCTGTAAACGTTTGTTTTCAACAATGACACGTTTTCAGCGTGTTCTGGCAGATTGATCACCACAGAGAAATGCTTGGACAGCAAGCGATTCGTTTCATTTCCAATGAAGAAATGACTAATTGGAAGCTTATGAATGTTTTCAGGTTTTTTTCTGTTCCCATCAGTTATGATGCTTTTAATGACATGAATTCACTTATAAAAACTTACAAAAAAGGGTATTTGTTTTGTGTTATGTAGCAGAAGGCATGGAAAAGTGCTGAAAGGGTTGTTCTACAAACCGGAGAAAAGTGCACTTTGTATAGTCAACGAAGCCTCAACTTTAGAAAATTTGATACAAGTTTTTTCGCACTTAGTAACTTTTGCACAAATACTAACTATTTTACCTTCAATTCCAGCAAACCGACTAGGGACGAAATGACTCGAGCGAAAACCTCGCTGATTACATGGTTCATCACAGCATTTTCTGCAACGCTGCTGATTTTGCTCGATTACTACTTGTATGCCTTTCTTAATGCGGTACGATAACTTGTAGAAACTTGCGTTCATTGGTTTCCTTTTTGTACCTACTAAGTGGAACTTTTCCTGAATAATTTTATATATGATTTAGTTGGTATAAAAAACTTTTGTTCAGCGAACGTTTCGTTACCACCGCCTTCTTCAGAGCCAGATTGATCCCAGTGGATGGTTCATAGGTGGTCGTTGCCGCAATGTAAATGTTCGCAGTAGCATGGACCCGAATTTAGTGCAGGGAGCACTGCTCGGATAAAGAACTTCAGTCGGCGGTGCCCTTTGGTACAGGGTGGACATTGATCGATTCCCGCCATCCAATATTTTTATTACCCTTTTTCAGCCAGTATTTCTAAATAACTGGTTTTCCTCTTTTCACATTTTATGTGAGCCACAGTATTTTGTTCATTGCTTTTGCTCTTGTGCAACCGTCTCTTGCAAGCGCGGTCAAGTCCGCGTTTGGATTCGACTGAAACCTGGAGACTTGACGGCTTCACTTTTTAGTGACTTAATTCTTAATGCTTCTTCGGCATATTTGCACTGAAGTGATGAGAAGACCGTTCTAAACAGCCGGCATCTCCGGTTGATCACCATAGGTATTCGCCAAGCCTTCTTCGTCGGAGGGAGTCTACGCATTGTCACTGGAAATCTTCCTGGGCGACAACGGTTCTTATAGTTAGTCGGAACACTAGGAAGACCTTAATTCCTCGCACTCACAGGAAAGAGGTGCCAAATGGGCTTCTATCCATGTAGACATAAAAGTCTTTATAGGAGTAGAAAAGATTTTCTCAGTTCGTGCAACAGTGAAGGAGCTTCTCTAGTTCCCAGGATCGCCTTTCTATTAGTCTCGGCATTTTACTACAAATTCGCCGTTTTCTCTCTCTGCTTAAGTTCCTTTATTTTTTTTCACATGAGAACGAGCTGATTTAGCATAAAATCGCCATTAGTGATAAAACATGGGAAAATGGAGGAAAGGGGTGGTAAATATGGAAGAAGATTACAATTGAAGGAAGTTTCTAAGTATTAACCACCAAAAGCTTATAGTCTAGTAAGACTTGAATGCTTCCATTATGAAAATATTCAATCTAGTTTCTTGCTGTTTTCGTCCTAAATTAATTACGTTTGTTTTCCTGAAGGAGATGCAGCTGCTCGGAACCAGTTATTGACAAGGGAGAACGAAAGAATACCCATTTAGCGTGTAGAACAAAGAGATTGTACAAAGAAAGGTGTTAAATGTGTTACGTGGAAGCAAGCCTCGGACGTGTTTTCATCTGCAATCATTGGGAATATTTAAAAGAACTTCAAATCAGTCCATGGTACTGCTAACAACCGATGAATGAAAGGATAGTCGATGAAAGAACATGAAGACGGCTTTAATATAATGTGCAATTCAAATTGAATTGAACCATATGTTTTCGTCGTGAAGATTGTAAACAGTAGATTGGTTGCCAAAGAAGGTTATTCGGCGATGATAACCAAAAGAGGAATACTCTCAATTTATGAGAATAACTGTTAGGATAAAGCATAAAGCTCTCGGCGTTATCAATCTCTGAAGGATGCGCCATGCATTCTACTTCATTAAGTATCGTTGGAGGTGATTGAATGCATATCTGGCCTTTATAATGACTCGCGGTGGCCTACCACGCGTATCATCGAGCCAGTGCTGCTATCCTACCAAACAAGTCTGGTACGAATTTGCCCACCCCGGAGAGGTGGAAAGCTTGGTGAGCCATGGGCGCGGGACCTACGTGTGTGTCGCAGTTGCGCCAACGACCACTGCGCCACAAGCGCCTTTGAAATGTTAGGAATCACCGTGAAAATACTTCGTTGCAGGTTGTCTCTGTTTCTCACACGAGAATTGAACAACTTGGCTCTTCTAGTGCAGCTATTGACGTACGTTTCCCTCTATGTCCATTTTTTTCCTCCTTATATGTTTCAAAGTTTCTGATTCGATGTGGTTTTTGGATCCGCGTAGTTGTTTTGGAGTGTGTAACGCCCTCCCCGTCAGGTTTTGAGCTTTTAGAAGCAGAAAATTTTGCCTTTGTCTTTATCCCTCAGGAGCAATTATGTCGAAAAATTTCTTGACTGCTATTTCTTCTGGTGGAAGTGTTTATAGACGATTAGGAATAAAGACACTAGGCAGACAATGAGAAGCGCCAAACCACCTTTCACTTGCTGAGAAGATCACCTATGAATTTGAAATTAAATGGAAGATTCGCTATCAGGTAGAAGGTGATGGAGTTGTGGCAAATTTTTTGCGTTCAGTCGTTGCTGAAAATCGTACACTAGAGGTGGACAGCGTGAGTTTCCACAAATGACATTATGATTTTGATTTGGATGTCATATACAATCAATGGAACATGTACTACACTTCAGAGCATGAGCAACGCTCATTGCCTGCTGCCGCCACAGCGTCCAGACTTCCAGCACATTTTCACTTGGATAGCAGTTCCTCTAATTCTTTCGCTTTTCCTTCAAGTAAAAGCTTTCGGTGACTTAGTTCGATATTCCATTTGAATGAGGTCAGTCTTTAGGTTGTCTTTTCCTTCGTTGTTAAACGACTTGTCCTCAATCACTTCTTGCCATTCATGTTTCCTCTAAGAGATCGTGTTCGTATCATTCATCTCTACAACAAGGTCAGTTATGATATATATATATATATATGTATATGTATATATATATATTGAAGCTATTTCAACTGTTTTAAAACGATTTTATCCTTTATTTACTGTTTTTTATTGTAGGGCATTATGTGGAATATAACCACAAGGATGTTGAGATATGAGCAAAACTCGAAGCCTAATTTTGGTTTCGAACCTGTGGTTACCCTTATAACTTCGAAAACATCCGAGTGAAAGGCAAAAGAAAGGCCTCAGTTAGAGCAATGGATAACACGTGAGGCCGCGAAAACGGTAATCACGGGTTCGAAGCGCATTTGAGGTTCCCAGTTTTGCCCATGTCTCAGTTTTCTTGTGACTGTGTCCTAACACTGTTTGTGTGTAAATACTCCTTGTTACGAGCAAACGTTTGTAGTTTTACTAATTTTAAAGATTATCGCATCGATTTTTACCAGAACGTTGGTGGTTTAACAGAAATTTTGAGGTTTTGTTTCTAAGAATCAAACATCGTACGGAAGCAAGAGCTCGAATTCGTTTTTGCGTTGAGAGATGGAAGATCAACCAAGAAAACGATGAAGGGTTAGAATGCATTCTTTTTTGACCTTATAAGGGAAAGACAATTCGAATGCGATTCTACCTGCATCACTTGGACTCACGTTATTTACGGTGTGGTTCGTGTGGATGCCAGCAACCTCCACTTCTCCACATTGCGCAGTGGAGCTCAATGGGCTCCGTTCACTCAGTCAAGGAAGATGAAGAGCAATCGCCAAGCGCGTTGTAGAACTCCATTTTCGCCTGGCTGTTTTTTTTGGTAGGGCGACCTCTTCGCTACGTACTGCAGTTGAAATTCAGGTACATCTTTCAACGACGGCGAAACGCTAAACCGTCGAGAAAACATAATGAGAGTTCAAATGTAGACAGTGCCCTTTATATGGAACATGTGTGATTCTTCGAATCATTTATTTTCAGATTCGTCTTTAGCGCTATATTCTTATCTTAATCTACAAGATTTCTTTTCCAAGTGGATATTTTGTTATCACCTGAGTATCTAGGTATAGCGAAGAAAAGATTGTTAGTAATCTATACACTTTTAGAGGGTGGTTGTCTTATCGGTCTTGGTTTAAACTTAAGGTACTCGATCGACTCTTCAAAACTGGACAGTGCTTAATGTGCCAGGTAAAAAAAAGAACGTTTTTTACTTGCTTCTAAATCATCCCACGATCAATTCTAATACACTTTTTTTGTCTTTTTCTTGTTGATGAAAGCTTATTCCTTCCTCTTAACAGTTTGATTCGTCATGAAATACGTTCCGCATTTTGGACAAGGATATAGAGATAATACTAATTTGTCACGAAATGCCTGAATAAGTTTTAAGTTCATAAATTTTATTTCTAAAAAGTACTTTATCAATATTAATCAAATTTAAGTTGAACCACCACGTTACATTTGTTTTGGGCGTGAATAACATTACAACCATAAGAGTAAGAGACTGTGCTGAAGAGTAAGCAACAATCGTTGTAGTGTACAAAATAAAAAAGTTTTGTTTTAGTTTTTATGTTACATGCTCGGACGGCTCATATTGTACGAATCCCAAAAGTCTTTCATTCGATTCGTTTCTTCCCACCGCCACCCATGACGGTCATCGAATTTACGTTGAGGCGTCGGCTGAAGCTTGAGGACTTTTTGTTCCTCTTTATGAATTTTCATGAAGACTGGTCGAGCCAATTCTCGGTGAAATGTTGGGATAACTGTGTTAGGGCATTCAGTTCCTCACAGCAGGCGGAAACCACCTCTTGTGGATCGAATGGAGTTTCCAGCACAAGTCTGGCACCAACGTGAAGCGGGTCAAACGAAAACCTTGCACGTATTCAAGTCGAATGACACACCATTGCGTTACACGCGTCGTGAAGATAATACAGTTTATACAAATAATGCGAATTGATTAATAAACATTGTAAGGCAACATTTTTGGCTTTTTGAAAATGTTTTAAAGTTATAATTTGGTTCCACGCAGGTGCTGTCGTAAATAGACCAGGTAAACGTGATCCAGCTAAGGTGAATTTACAATGGAAGGATGCGGTCGATTGGCCGGTATCCTCGAGGGATTCAAAACCTCATAGTCTATCCCAGTGAACCAATTTGGGAGTCGGATTGATATAAAACTCTTCAGCGAACTTTTTGAGCAAAGCGTGTTCAATGCGCCCAAGACACTTCATTTTAGAATTGTCGAAGTCGTAGATCCAATTTTGTTTGTCACCAACAAAACTGAAGTCTGCTGTTTCAGCAAAACATGAAGCCGGCTCAGCTGTACTTTTGTCTAGAATGTCCAGCAACGTACTGCAGATACTGTTTGGCGGAAACCGGCAATGAATGTTACGCCTGTCAGGTCTCTAGCTGTAA